GGAAGTGTAGTAGTCAAGTCAACTCACTTGTCGTATGCGTCATTGCCTTATACTCAGCGTCAGTACTTGATCTTGCTACCACATGTTATTTCTTACTTTTTCCATGAGACAATGTTACCTCTTAAGAAAGTACAATAACCAGTGGTTAATCTCCGATCAAAAGAAGAACAAGCTCAATCAGTATCTGAGAAATCTTCCATTCTAAGATGTCCATTAGCTCGATATAACAATCTAAGGCCAAGAGCACGTTTCAGATATCGTAGAATATGAGTAACTATCTCCCAATGTGGACTAACTATACTGACTACATAAAAAATATTCGGTCAAGTAATAGTGAGATAATTGAATTTTTTAACCAATCTGCGATACCGACTCGGATTCTCAAATAGTGCACCATCATCCATCAATAATTTTTGATTCGGATCCATAAGAACATCAATCGGTCTACCACCCAACAAACCTGCTTCCTCTAGTATATCAAGTACATGTTTCTTCTGGGATAAACAAATACCCTGTTTAGATCGAACCACCTCAATACCAAAGAAATACCTGAGTTTTTTTAAATTCTTAGTATGAAATCGATCTTGCAGGAAAGTTTTTAACTTGACAATCCCCTCAGAATCATTTTCAATAATTACAATATCATCTACATAGACCACCAATAGAACATATTCGGCATCCGTCTGTCTATAAAACACAAAATAGTTTGTCTGACATTAAAAAAGACCAAACTCTAAAACTGCATCTAAAAACTTACCAAACCATGCCCTTAGTGACTGTTTCAAACCATACAAAGACTCTTACCATATTACCCCTGAGTAGTAAACTCAGGTGGCTGCTCCATGTATACCTCTTCAACCAAGTCATCATGTAGGAAGTCATTCTTGACATCTAACTGAAATAAGGGTCAATCAAGATTAGCAACCAAAGAAATCAAGATATGAAGAGAGAAAATTTTGGTAATAGGAGAGAAAGTCTCCTCATAATCAACACCATAAGTCTGAGTAAAGCCCTTTGCAACAAGTCAGGCTTTGAGACGCTTCACAACCATCCAGATAAAATTTAACAGTATACATCTAACGACAACCAACAGTTAGTTTACTAGGAGGTAAAGGAACGAGATCTCAAGTCTCATTATGATGTAGGACATCCATCTCATCCTCTATAGCTTTCCTCCAACTCGGATCAGATAATACATCCTGTAAGTGCTTAGGGATAGAGATAGTAAATGATTGAGAGGTAAAATAAGAGAAGATAGGAGACAAGACATTATATGAAATAAAAAGAACAATAGAATGGTTAGTAATACATGAACGAGTATCTTTTTGAAGAGCAATAAGAGTCTAAATTACCTGATGTACCAAGATTAGAAGGCGGCAAGGAAGACGGTATAGGCATCTCGGTCGATGGGTGAGGACGACGAGAGTTTACACAAAGAGATAAAGTAGGTGGTAACACAGTACGCAGAGGAATATCTGACGGTGAGGGAAGAGATGGTGGTACAATAGACGACCCAAAATCCAAATTCAAAGGTCTATGAAACAAATTCCTCAAACGTGACACTGGCACTAGTAAAATATCGGCACATGGAAGGATTATAGTAACGATACTCCTTCTGTGTGCGGGAGTATCCAAGAAATACATATTTGGTAACCCAAGGGTCAAGTTTATCAAACTCAGGGCCCAAGTTGTGAACATAACAGAAACATTCAAAAATCTTAGGAGTTAAGAAAAAAAAAAGATTTACCAGGAAAAAAGACAGAATATGGGCAATTTAACACAGAAGATGACATACAATTAATAAGATAATAAGCAGTGAGAACAACATCACTCCAAAAATATTGAAAAATATTCATCTGGAATAACAGTACACGGGTGACTTTCAACATATGACAATTCTTACGTTCAGCAATACCATTCTGTGGAGAGGTGTAAGTACAAAAAATCTGATTAATAATGTCCGTTATACTCAAATAAGCTGAAAAAGAATCAGATTCATATTTTCGAGCATTATCAAAACGTAAAATACGTATACGGCAATCATACTGAATTTTTATTTCCTTGCGAAAAGTCTCAAATATATAAAATAATTTAGAACGAGCTTTCATCATAAACAATCAAGTCACACAAGAATAATCATCTACAAATAACACAAAATAAGGATATTTATTAGATAAAATTTTTTTTGTTAGACCCCATACGTCAGAATGTATTAACTCAAATGGACTAGACACACAATTATTGACTCTAGACTGAAAGGATACACGGTGATACTTACTAAGTTGACAAGCTTTACAAGATAAATATGACACATTACTAAGACTGGGAACTTGACGCTTTAGATTCTGGAGAAAGAGATGTCCAAGTCGACAATGTCATTGAAAAGGATACAACGAGGTCATTAGAGTCCGAATAGATGAATCAAAATCAAAGTAATAGAGACCACCAGCTTCATGCCCCGTATTAATCTTCCTCTTCGACTTGAGATCCTGAAACACACACAAAGAGGGATAAAATGTTACAGAACAATTAAGAGAACGTGTAATTTTACTAATGAAAAGTAAATTAAAAAGAAACTGAGGAACAAATAACACGGAGGATAGGGACATATTCGGACTCAATTCAGTAGTCCCCAAACCTGAAACTTTAAAAGAGGTATCATTAGCAAGAGTAACAGTGTGTGTGAAAGGAGTATACTGATAGGCAGAAAAGATATCAGACGCACCAGTCATGTGGTCAGAAGCGCCAAAGTCTATGATCTAGGGACTACGAGTGGAAGACAATAAACAAGTAGAAGCGGTACCTGACCGGACAAAAGTAGCAATGGAGGAAGATGGAACGACCTGTTGCTGAGATAGGAACTGAGCATACTCCTCTCATATAAGAGTAACTAACCTGGAATCAGGTGGAACAGACCGAGGTATAGAGGCAGGAATCGAGGTGTCATCCTAATAAGAAACCTGGTTAGCAACACCCGAAGGCTTGCCATGTAAATCCCAACAATAATCAACAGGGTGGCCTCCACGACCACAATGAGAGCATGAACAAGACCCTGACCTCCCTCCACGACCTTCAGTACGGCCTTCCCTACCTCCACGACCACCACGGTTACCACATCCGCTCAAGAACTGTCACTATAGCCACTCAGGGCAACAAGAGTTGAACGATCAGTAGGCACACCAGACTCCGTATGGGATGAATTGGTAGAGAAGGTAGCACGCTACAATCGGGAGAAAATCTCCAGTAAAGATGGAAGACTAGAGCCACCCAAAATTTGAGAATGAATAGACTCATATTCAGATTTCAAACCAACTAAAAATCAAACAATATTTAAATCCTCATGTTGCTGCTGCCAAACCGCTACATTAGTAGTAAAGGGGTGGTAGAGCTTCAACTCCTCACACACTCTCCGAATATGAGAGTAATAGTCCTCAAGACTTAGAATACCCTACTCTAAACGAAAATATTGTTTGCATACTTCATATGCACGAGTGAAATTTTCAGTGCCAGAATACATGGTGGCCAAGTAATCTCAAATCTCTTTAGCCGTGTCAAGATAAAGTAAAACAAAACTGATACTGGGCTCAATACTATTCAATAGCAAGGAAATAATCTGAGTATCTTATTGTTCCCACTTATTATACCCAGGAGTACCTTCCTTGGGTTTAGTGTCCACTAAGTATTTTTTAAAGTCTTTACCTCTAAGAAACACTTGAGCAGATCGTGGCCACAAAACATAATTGGTCTCATTGAGTTTAACAGATATCATGGGACCATTAAGTAGAACCATAGGAGAAAAATTTGGTGGCATGGGTAGAATAAGATCAGCTCGACTATCATCATTTTTATTCTTGGGTTCTATAATAGTATAGCAATAATAGAACCAAAGGACAAAAAAACCTTTTTAGTGAAAGAAAGAGGCTAGAAGAACACTGGACGAAGCCTGAGCAGTGGACTAGGTGCCTCAATCGGACCAAAAATAGTGGCTGAATACCTGAACCGAGTGTGAAACACTTGCTAGATAGATGAACCGAACCAAGGAAGGCTGAGGGACGCCTGAACCGGGCCAAGAACACTTGCTGAAAGTCTGAACCGGACAGGAAAATAGGAGTTGTACTACTAAACTAGTGCGAACCACCCTAGAAGAATTGAAAAATGCTGAACCAGAACTAAACAGGTCCCGAACCAGATCAGATAGAGGAGAACCGAGTCTGAATCGGACCAAATTGAGGAAAACCTGGTCTGAACCGGTCTGCTGCTGGACTAGATCAGCTATTTCAACTGGGTTGGGCTAAACTGAACTGGGATGCACTGAACCAAACTGAACTGGGCTTAAGAACAATCCAAATCCGCTTAGCCAAACCAACCCAAACTGACCCGCTAAGGCGTCTTCTCAACTACTAGGGTTTCAATCGAAACCTTGTTGCTCTCTGCGCAACCTCAACGATGCAAACAATTGTTGACAATGTAGGTCCCCGACAACGTAACCACCATGCCACCACAGCAAGTCTCCGACGACTAACACAACCACCACCAACGATGTAACAGCTCCACCGCCGACGTCATAATAGTGCAATCACAATTACTGCCGATGATGCAACACTACCTCCTCAACAAAGTACAATTAACCTCTACACCACACCCACACTCGTGTGGTTATTAAACCAACACCCATGACCTAAAGGCCATGACCGCAGTTCTTACAACTAAGCCCAGAATGGCGACAGAACATAGAAGAAGAAAAGAAAAAAGGAAGAAAAAATTCAAAAAATTGAATTGTTTTTTTAAGGATTAATCTTGCTCTGATACCATGTTAAGTTTAAAGAATTAACACAATATTAGAGAAAGACGGAGAATGGTCAAAAACATAACTTACCTCTCACAAACCACTTGTATTTATAGTTAACATACAATAATAAGAAAGACATATACATCCTCTTATATTTACACATAATACCCTAATAATTTAACAACTTATTAAAAATTGATTCAGTTCTGAAATGGGAGGAAGTGGAAATAGGAGAGCCAAAGGAGGAGAGATCAGGGTGAAGAATAAGGCCATTGGGCTTAACTTTATCGATGTATACTATCGCAAAGGAGTTTACAAGGCTGCCACAATACCTTTTATACCTGGTTCATTTCTGTTTCTTCTATTACTCTGCTGAAAATTTGTCTTCCAATGAAAGATGGGTTCAACTTCATCCAAAAATATTTTGTGATTGGTAATGCAACATTTTTTTTAAGTTATGAAAAGAGAAAAAAGAGAGATACTCTATTTTCAGGGATTTCTTCTAATAATTATACTGTATAGAAATGCTTCTTGTGGGTAATCCTTCACTTGCATCCTCAGAGATGGAATCCGTCCAAGAAAGCAGGTTTAGCATGTTTGGACTGCTGCCCTTGAATACTCTCCAAAATCAGACAGCCTCAACTGACTTAAGTAACCAAAAATCTTTTTAGTTTTTATGGCCGCAACTGACGCAAGAAACCAATTATCTTTCCGCAAGAAATAAACAGAACTCCAAATACTGAATCGTCTCACACCATCGATTCATGTTGGGTGTGCATTTTTTCGGTATAGATTTTCTTGATTAGGAAGACAAAGCATGTGGTCCGGCTTGATCCAATTTGTTTATATTCATCCTCTTGTCAAAGTGCTTTTCCATTGATGAAAAACAAGAAAAGATAGACATGTTGGATAGGAAAGTTCGTCCTGTTCTATTTTTGCCATATGATACATTGCCCGTCCGTTAACTATATAGCCTCATGTCGTTTAGTCAGTTCCTGCCGAAATGCGATTAACAATTATTATCGTTTTGCTTTGTTTTGTGGAAAATTTTCATTTTGGGAGGATCACTATTGTGCTTCAGGGGAAGTATGTTTTTGTCAGGCTGCCGTACATATTTTTGTCAGACTTAAATGAGTCTCTTATTAGGGACTATAAATGAAATTGTCATGTGAATCCAGAATTGGGGTTTTGTTGAGAACTAAGCTTGCAAAACATGTTAAGTTCAGGTATGGAAGCAGTTGGTGTGGTGACTTCCGTGGGTCCTGGACTAACGGGCAGGAAAGTTGGAGATCTCGTCGCATATGCAGGTAACCCAATGGGTTCATATGCTGAAGAGCAGATCCTTCCAGCAGAAAAAGTGGTGCCTCTTCCTTCCACTATGTATCCTGTTGTAGCTGCAGCTGTCATTTCCAAAGGAATGACAGCTCAATTCCTAGTTCGTCGGTGTTTCAGGTTATGTTTCATGTTTATTGAATACCTTCTGGATTCTACTAGAATTTTTGGCTGTTATAGACAAAAATGATGGTGGAGAGTGTGGTTTTGAGTATAAAATCATTTGAACTTGAAAACATTTTAAAATGAATTTAAATAACACTATTTTTTTGGTTTTATTACATAGTACTATTCAAAAATTTCAGTGTTAGAAAGTCATGAAATATGCATGGAATTTGGATAATAATTGAACTAGTAGTACTTTTGTCAAGAAGATTGTGCCATTTTGATATATTTCAGTTAATTCTAAGGTGTTCATCCACGAATTGAGCAACGTCACATCAAGTGTTTAGAAACATTTTATTTGCAACATTTTTGCAGTATCATCATCTAAAGCTTGACCTTATTGCTAGTACATGATGAGCCTACACATTACTTCTGCCGTTATGCATATGCTATTTGTATAATTGCCATCATTATTATTATTAGCCTTCATCGATCAATTTCTTATATTAACTGTTCGACTGGCTGTCCCTTGGTCATTTGAGCGCGAAATTTCGGGCCGTAGGTTAGGGGTCCAAGCCTTTTTTTTTTTTTTTTTTTTTGCTTTTTTTTCCTGGGTTGGGAGAGGGGGAGAGGAATGAGAAAGGGAGATGATGCATTGTTTCAACTGTTCAGGTTATTGAGCATATTATCAAAAAACTACAGGCATAATGAGCGGCTATAAGTAAGGACTTCTAATGGTGCCCTATTTGGTTCGCATGTAATCCCCCTTTTTCAATTGGAGGAAATGTGAATTCCAGAAAAGATTTTCCTTAAGCTAGAAACCCCTGACAAAGCATCAAATTATTTGATTATCCATCAGAACTGTATCTATGTATGAAACATATCTATCTATTTACATGCAACCCTCCTTGTGAAAGAAGGGAGATTTTGGTTCACATAACCTCTTTTGCTGGAGTTCAGTCAGCCATTGAAGACTGTTCTGAGAATAATGTGGTTATGTATGTCTCTATCCCTATATGTTATAGGAATTATCATATGACTATGGTAGTACAATAGAACAAGATAAAATTATGATCATCCTAGTGGCAGAAACCTCATCCATTTGTACTGTTGCGTTTGAACATGAATGGATCTGCGATTTAATTTTTATTTACTTCAAAGATATGACTGAGTTGCATAGTATGACAGGTTGAACCTAGACACGAAGTTCTTGTTCATGCAGCAGCAGGTGGAGTTGGGTCTCTGTTGTGCCAATGGGCAAATGCCCTTGGTGCCACTGTCATTGGAACTGTCTCAACCAAAGAAAAGGCAGCTCAAGCCAAAGATGATGGATGTCATCATGTCATAATGTACAAGGAAGAGGATTTTGTTACCCGTGTCAATGAGATAACATCAGGCAAAGGAGTTGATGTTGTCTATGATTCAGTTGGAAAAGACACCTTTCAGGTGATGCACCTCTATTCTTATGATCATATAAATACCCAGTAAAATTCCAGTCATGCAGAAAATACAAAGGTAGTAACTAAATGTTTGCGTGAGTTATAGTGTGATGATATCGTCAATATGTAAGTTGTTTTTTCTGCCACTTAATATTTATTTGAGGTTCTGGAAGTTAATTTGAGCCAAGTTTACAAAAGGGTCCTGCATTATCCCAGTTGGACATCAACTTTAAAGACCGATTGAACCCAACATGCACAAATTAGCATAGTCACCATAGGCCTTACATCCACAAGGTTGAGATTGGTCAGTCTAATTTGGTTCATGGAGCCCCAGTTGCATTTAATATTTTCTCTAGTAGTTTCTAATTGGGATGCTGTCATGCTCAGGGTTCTTTGGCATGCTTAAAAATCCGCGGATACATGGTAAGTTTTGGGCAATCCTCTGGTACACCAGACCCACTGCCATTGTCAGCACTTGCAGCAAAATCGCTGTTCTTGACAAGGCCCACCCTCATGCACTACAATCTAACTCGGGAAGAGCTGCTTGAAACTGTTGGAGAGCTATTTCCGTGCATCACATCGAGGGTCTTACGGGTCCGTATAAATCGCACCTACCCCTTATCTCAGGCGGCACAAGCGCATGCTGATCTTGAGGGTCGGAAAACATTGAATCTATTACCAAAGTACCCAAAATTTAAACTTATTTATTTGAACTTATTTATCAAACTACCCGCTGTTTTAAAAATAAATGTACAAAATCCGACTTTATTAGAGAAAGTGGATGTACCAATTACGATTTTATTTAAAATCAGACTTACCAATTCCGCTTTCGATTGAAAATGTATTTACTAAACCCGCTTTTAACAATAAAAAACTGAAACTATTTTCCACATAAGGCGGTTGTACCAAATCCGCTATCATTAAAAAGCGGTCTTAGCAAATACGCTTTCTAATGAAAGCGTTTGTAGAAAATACGCTTTCTAATGAAAGCGTGTAGAAAATACGCTTTCTAATGTAAGTGTTTTCTGATCCATAGCTATTTTATGTCAGCAGTTGAGTACTATATCAAAAAATAAATTATGATGTTGTACTTATTTTTAATATAAAAAAATAATAAAACTAATTACCACAAAATTAATGAAAATACACAAAATTAGTAATAACTTATTTTGTACCAAAAAAAAGCGATAAAAAATATTACCACAATAATGATAAAAAAAACACTCACAAATGTAATTAATCACCCAAAAAAATAATAAATTTTTTTTAACATAAATAGTAAAAATAGTTATATCAATATTGATAAAAATATCTATAAATGTAATAGACTCGGCCACTAAAATAATAAATTTTGTACTTATAAAAAGACGTATAAATGTATAAAAATATTTATTAAAATAATAAATTGTTAAGATATAATAGTATTTTTTTTTTGTTGATATTGTAGACAAATCCATATTGTCATATCATTTTGTACTTAGTGCGTTATGTTGTAAAATTGAAATACCAATTCTAACTTCATATTGAAAGCGTATTTATTAAACCCAATTTTAAGGATTTATATTTAAAATTAAAGCTGATTTGTTAAACCCGTTGTTATTAGAAAGCAGATTTACTGAAAACACTTTCTAATGAAAAGCGTGTTTAACACATCCGCTTTCTGTGGTATGTTCAATTTTTACCCTTAGCAACAATAAATTGGGGGGTAAGAGATATTATAACTTCCTCCCGTTATCAGATTTTTTTCAATTTCGATATTTTTGAGACTATTTGTATGTAGTCCCACAATTGAAAATTTCATTCCCACCTCTATTAAAGAATAAAACCTACCCACTAAAAATATTATTATCCAAAAAAAGAATTGCAATTGTCCCCCCCAATTCCATACCAACAAACCCTAAACCGCAGAAAAAGAGATTTTGTTTCTTTTGCGATAAAAACATTCAAAAAATGAAGAGACGTTATGTCTTTTGTTGAAATAGAACAATAAGATTTTATTTTAAACGACATAATATAGACATATAAGTCAAAAATAGTTCTAATGACGATCATATTTCCAACAGCACAGTGGTGTGTCATGTAAGCAAAAAGTAGCAAGGAGAAATTTTACACAATAATCATCATCACTTGATTTTTCAAAATCAGAAAGTTCATTGTCAGAAACCAAAGATTGATCAGAGAGTATTGCATTAATAGGTTCTACAGGGTCTGAATGTTCAATCTTTGCCTTTGTAAGAAGGTGGAATCGATTTAGTCGTCGTTCCATCTGATCATTCTAATGAGCCAGTGTTGCAATGATATCATTGTAGTTATTCGTACATCATTCCACATACATTTCAGCTGAACGTGCTTGTGGCACTCATAATCCATGCCAACAACAATATACTTCAAGCTCACAACGCTTGAAATAAGATTTCAACCAACTTGGTCCCTGTAGGTGGTAATAAAACTCTAGAGGCGAAATAAAGGTTGCATGTCCAATCATCACATGACCGACTTTGGTGAAAGGGTTATGAATGTTGATTGGCTCATTCTTAAAAGAACGTAAATTTTCATACCATGTAACTCCATGGGGATCTATGTAATTACCGAGTTCTGGTGAACTGAATGAAAAAAATGTTTCATGATGGCAATGGTTGGTTGAGAATGAGTCATCGGTAGGTTGGCTTGAAGACCCATTTGGTGATGTTGTTGACATTATAGTGTACGTATGGGTTACACTGCAGATAAGTAGTTGTATTTAAACAGAAACACAAATTATTGTAATATTACATTCAATGAATTGAGTAATAAAATATTGTTGTGAGGATATATGTACGAATGAACAATGATAGCGACTAGACATTGCTAGAGTGTTGTGATAAAATAAATATTGATAACATAACACTGACAAATTTGTATAAACAGTATTGTTTTAAATCAGCACTGACGACTTAACACTAATAGTGATGTGATACGTGCAGTGATGCGACAAAGCATAAGTGTTGCAGGAGATGTCAAATTATTTGTGTTGTAGGAGTTGTCAAATCAAAATATTTTTAAAAAATTTAGCAATAGTAGGCTAAACAGTTATTAGGAATACCATCAGAATATCACTATAAATTGATTGTGTGTGTTACTCTCTTTTACCATCTGTATCAACTTGAAACATGAGTTACAGTCCACGCTCAGTGTTTGAAGCTATGGGATATCATTGGACATTAGAGGATGAATTCTTCTATTATCTAAATCATCGTTTACGTTTCTCACAGAGGTCAGTGAATAGAATGAGAGAAGAATGGCAATATCGTTTGAATGAGAGAGAAGTTCTTAATAAAGATTTACGCATTTGTAACATACGGAGGCCACGACAAGTTGCCATAAATATGCCTATTCAAACACCACAAGAGTTGGAAGGTGCATTTGTGGCGTATTCATGCTGAAAACAATCATATGGAAATACGGAAAACTCGGTATAACCTCCGCCGAATTGCAGGTGATCATGCTACAGAAGGTTTGGTTGAAGAAGCACGGTTGTGTCCACAGTTGTCTAGAGAAGGAGGAAGTGTTTCTGACTTTGAAATGTTGGACGAAGAAACTTTCCCATGATGAAGATTTCTTAATCAATAAGGCATATTTACGCATATGTTGGTTTATCCTCCAGGTGTATTTTACGCGTATTTCCCATGTGTCATGTACTACTATGTTGTAGTAGTTTATCTGTATTGTCATTATGCATTTCTCATATATAATGTACTATATGTTGTTCTGTGTTTTATCTTAAGCAACGAAGTGGAGAACAACACTAAACACAATAATGCATATAATATATAGAAACATAGACTTATTTCCTTCTGAAACTCAATTGGAAGAGAACTTGGTTTGTTGTTTTGCTTCTTATTAAATAGAAAGATTCTTGTTTAGTGTATTTCTGATTATAAGAGTATGGTGCTTGATGAAGTTATGGTTTTCATCCTATCTAGTTACCTCAATATTGGTTTGCATTGTAATCTCTTTATAGTCTGACAACATAAAATAGTGATTGTTCTTACCCACTGCAAACTAGCAATCAAGTAGTTGAATTTTGAGGAGCTGTTGTACAAAAATAACTACAAATTTTTTAGACAGGAACATTTAAATGAGCAATTACTAATATGAGAGGAATCTCATATTAGACATTTGGAGAGGAAAGACTTTCCAAGGCCTCTCTTCCTTAATTTGATTAATTTATATGTATATATGTATAGATAGTTGGGGTGTTACGAGGCCCAATAACGAGTCTTAGTCTTAGTTTGAAAAATGATCAACTTCATGGAATGCACAACTTCAGTCCTCGCTATATCTAATAAGCTTGTGTCAAAAAAAAATGAAAAATTTACTAAACCTAAATAACTCTTTAATCAAAAAATCCATGGTTTGTCTGACTCAACTTAAAAGATCCATTCATAGAAAACAACTATCCATACAAGGATCCAACAAATTTGTATTGCTTTCGGAAATATTATATATAAGCCATCTGGAGACTTGTCATTTTGTGAAACAAAATAAACATACCCCTTTAAACTACTCAAGCTCAAGGTTATGAAAGGAATTGCAATTGACTATCTAACTATAAACCACACTCCAAAGGCACCACATTGAAAGCACCAAAAACAAACAATCAAACATGACCAAAGTTCTGCATGACCTGAGTTGTAAGTGCCATTAGAACATCAGATCCTGAGTAAAGGAGCACTATTAGGTGAACCCTCTGCTTCTCTAACCAAGATGCTCAGTCACAACCCAGTATTCACATGCATAATCGCTCAAGGATTTAGCCATCTTCACATTTTATTCTCTCTAAGGTCTTTTCAATGTTAAGTTTTACTGTTTTTACATAGTCAACTTTGTCTATTGCACATTCGAACTTACATATTCATATATTCAATTATTTTCTAAACCATCATATGCAACACACTAATGCAATATACAAATCAAATTCAGAAACAACAAATCAAAAGGTATCGAAAAACTGGAAATATGCAAACAGATATGGCTGCCTTTACACTGTGATGTAATTGAAAATAAATTTCTGAATAAAAATATACCTTCACACTGTAATCTTCTGAAGTAAGGATGTAGTTCAAACTAGAAGCTTGGGGATTTATGGGGATTCAAAATTGAAAAAAATTCGAGATCACACACTTGGGGATTTCTGATTTCAACATTAATAGAGATTGGGTAATAGGGAAATTTTGTAATTACACTTAGGTTTTTCCTGAATTACAGATTCAATTCTGCGTACCTGGTTAAATAGAAGCTTTGTGTTCAACACATGAACCGTTGTCTTCTCCTTGGTTCAGACCTAGCCCATGGGTGTGTACCACTCTACTGGTTCATTTGACAAAACTAGGGCTTAGCACGGAATCTCACAGCCGAATATTACTCCAGAACTCAGTTGTCTTCTTCAAAAAAGCTAGGGCTACAAATGGATTTCATCAGTAAGGTTTGTGCATTATAAGGGCTGAGCTTAGGGGTGACGAAATCAGACAGAAGAATGGAAGAAAGAGAACAACACAGTGAAGGGAAAACCGAGAGAGGGGAACTCTGAACTTCCACAGAGAGAAAAGAGAAGAGAAGAGAGAGACACAAAGTCGATGAAATAACATAAAGGGGCCCTGGGTGGTTGATTATTTCAATTGAAAGTGGATTCGTTATATACGTCTCATTTGATTAAGCGTACTTACGAATTACTCTTTCAATTTTTAAATGAATTTTCAACAGTGCAATTATTCCATTAAAAGTGTATTTATCAATTACACTTTTACTTTGAAATCGTATTTGGTACATCTGCTTTCTATGATAAAGTCGTAATTACTAATTCTGCTTTTAAATAAAATCGGGTTTCGTACTCTCGCTTTTAAAACAGCAGTAGTTTGGTAAATAAGTTCAAAACGGCTGTACATTGGTAAATAAGTTTAAATTTTGGGGTACTTTGGTAATAGATTCGAAAAACATCAGGATTTGTTGTCCTGATACCGGATGATGTTGACCAAGAAGTTCATAATCCCAACTGGTGTTGTTTCCTCTGTTGTAGGAGTTGGGACAGTTGGATAGCACAAACATTCCAATGAGTGCAAGCTGAATTTGGTCTGTATCCAGTGTGTGAAATGTACCACCCTAGTGTGTGAAAGCTGTTGTGCAAAAGAAATAAAAATCTTCTTGATTGTAACATTTTTTTTCCTTTTAATTGGCTTGTCATGGATATGGGTTTGTTTCTTCACTGAATGCATGATTTTCTCCAGATCTGTACATCTCTAGTAAATTGATAGCGTCCCTATCTCTTTCCTTGCATGAAAATATGTTCATGGCAAATGAAGACATTGAAAATATGATTCAATAAGGCTTTGAATCTCTAATTACATAATATGAGTCGAAATATAAGCTTATAAATTCAAATTTTATCATTGGTTTACATGACTTAGACTAGAATTCATAAACAATTTGAATTCACCATGTTTAGGTTGGGTTCTTAGAATCGAGGACTTTAATCTTTAGTGATTGGATAAAAATAGAGTTGGGATTTTCTTAGCCAAGTTCAACAATAATACAAAATTTTGACCCTGACCATTGAATATTTCGAGTTAAGCTTAGATTTGAATCGATGTGTCCAAATTATACCCTAACCAGTATAATGGGGAGCAACTCTTGTAATTGGATTAGATGCTAAAGCACTTAATAGTAGATAAATCATCATGTATTTGTAATATAGTTTCATTGACTATTATGTTCTTAGTTTATCCAATCCAGTACCACATTTGGTTTATAAATTAACCTCTAACCAATTTCAAACAATTTTGTTTATGTGTGGGGTGAAACACATAACTAGAACGCCAATTCGTTTCTGGGTTTTCCAATTCACAAGAAATCCAAATGGGAAATTTAGAGGCCGGTCCTCCTATATGGACTTATTTGGAGATAAGTTCGGTAAAGAAACTTATTTGATTTTAAGTCCGTATTTTATCAAGTTTACTATTGTACCCCTACCCTGAAGAATAGCCATAAACGACGTCTGATAGTTATAGAAAGTCACATAGGTTAGATCATTGAAGCATATATGAAAACCGTTGATTGAGTTATATATGAAAATTATTGATTGAGTTATATATGGAAACTATTTATTAAATATTCTGATAATTAACGAAAGTTTTATATGAAATGTATATATTCTGATAGTTATATATGAAGCTTGATGTATGAATAAATCATCGGTATATTAAGTGAAATTCAAATTACAAGATTTTCTTAACAATTCAAATTCAATATTAACATGATACAAGCATGAGGCGGTACTGTATCATAACGTTATATTATCAATATCTTAACTAGCATATAGTAACATGATACAAAATCACCAAGCATAATAGATATATAACAATTATCAAGAATTATGTGTTAAAGTAACATGAACAATGTCGCCTAATTAGTTGATGTAAACATAATAACATTAGCTTAGTAACATTAATTTGTTAACTGAATCTCAGTAACATCATTTTTAGTAACATCAACCAAACACAATTTTGAGTTTCCATATTACAATTTTATGGAATGAACATTACATTATACATAACATTATAAGTCCATTATAATTTTACTAAGTTGATGTTACTATGTTTACATCAGCTCATTGAGTGACACTGTTCATGTTACTTTTGCACATAATTCTTGATCATTGTTTTATATTCATTATGTTTGGTGATTTTGAATCATGTTACTATATGCCGGTTAGAATATTAATAATATAACGTCATGCTATAGTGTCACCCTATGCTTGTATCATGTTACTATATGTTTGTATCATGTTGCTATTGAATTTAAATTGTTAAGGAAATTTTGTAATCTCAATTTTACTTAATATACCAACGATTTATTCGTACATCAAACTTTCATATATAACTATCAAAATATATATATTTCATATAAAACTTCTGTTAATTATCAGAATATTTAATAAATGGTTTCCATATATAACTCAATTAACGATTTTCATATATAACTCAATCAACGGTTTCTATATATACTTCAATGATCTAACCTATATAACTTTCTATAATTTGACAAAACTAATACCGTTAGGGGTAATTTTGAGATTTAAAAAAAATAGACTTAAATACCTACATATAAGTTTAAACGCGTACTTAACTCCAATTAAGTTTCTTTCTCGGACTCAAGTCATTATAAGTACATTTAGAGGGATTCACCTTCAATTTTCACATTCCAAACAAAGTCCCAAAAAATTCCCTCAATATCTTTCTTTATATCCCTGTTCATAGCTGTTCATGGCTTTTTGGGTTTTAAATTAGATGAGCACTATGAACTGTCTCGTTGAGCAGCAAGAAATTTTTGAAAATTTTTCTTATAAATATTAAAAGTCTCATATGCATAATTTATCTTTTGTTTTTAGGGAGGGGGAGGGGAAGGGGAAGCGGGAGAGGGATTTGAACCCTATACCTCAAGAAGATAAAACATTTATGAGACAAGGAGTACCAACCATGAAATAGTATATTTTTAAGAAAAATTCTCTTTTAATCCTGAAAGTTACAAGTGAAACAAAAACAAAGATATCCCCACACAATTTTGAGAACATGGGAGAGTAATATAAATATAAATACACAGCTATACATGGATAAAAAGAGATGTTATTGGAGGGTAAGAGTAAGACCGATGACTTATGGCTTTGGGCAAATATGTCATTTTTTTCACTTATCCGGTCGGTGTAAAAAAGATTTCAACCTCCTTTGGGTTTCATTTAACTTAGAGCAACTCCAAGAGGGAGTGGCATCAGGGGTGGTAACCCCATAACTGTCAAAATATCACTCTAAATTCAAAATTTTTCACTCAAATAGTGGTGGTATCAAGGGTTAAAAATGGCATCAATGCTCTTGAAGTGACAATTTTGAAAATTCTGGAGAGAGGTTGCAAAGCTTTTCAGATTCCATTGTTCAATCTCAACGACTCTGTTCATCGACTCTATTCAACCAAAAAATTCTATAAATAAAGAGATTTTACATAGATTTTGAAAGAGAAAACTTACAAAAGTTGCCATAAAAATCATTGTAAGCTCCTTGCTCTTGATTTTTCTTCAAACCTTGTGGTTGGTGATGGCAGATCTGGAGAAGGAGGCACAAAGAAAGGGAAAGGGGAAGGAGGCGCAGAGGGGAAGGGAAAAAAGGTGAAGGGGGAAGGGGAAGGTGATGGCAGATTTGGAGAAAGAGGCACAGAAAAAGAAAAAGGGAAGGAGGCATAGAGGGAAGGGGAAAAGGGAAGGGTCTGAATGAAGGGAAAGGGTCTAAGTTAAATTAATTTTGTAAATAAAGGAGAAGGGTCTAAATTAAATTAATTTTGTAATTTAAATTGAATGTTTTAATTTTAATTTATTTATTTTTGTTAATTTAGGGTGAATTTATTTATTTAGCTATTTTTTTAATTTTTAATTTCTATTAATTAAGGGTGATTTTATTTATTTTTTAATTGATTATTTTATGCTCATTCTTTAAATTGATAATCATTTTTTTTAAAGATGGTCGCAATTTGATGGTTCTTTTACTGATTTACTTATGAATGATATCAATTTATATGATGATGTTATGCAGATCAATTCCACAGTATTGGCACCAATACAAAATGAAACCGCTCCAAAAGTGAAAAAATCGCAAAGGTCAAAGAACTTCTCTCTAAAAAAAATAAATCAATTGTGTATGCGTGGCTTAACACGAGTAAAGATGCAATTATTAGGAATGAACAACAAAATGGTGTTTTATGGCATAGAATATTGAAATACTTAGAACTTCATGGAGGCAATGAAGAAAAGCGTTCACAAGCTTCTATTAAAAGCCGTTGAATTAATATAAATGTAAAATGCGACAAATTTGTCAATTTTTATGGTCAAATTGAAAGATTGCGATAAAGTTGACACACCTAACAAAATAATGTAATAATTGAGCTTTTTTAGATAGACACCACTATGATTTGACATTTGAACTATTGACTGAATGATTTCATATATTTTTCAAGTTGATGAAGCAAAAGAAATGTTTGATAAGATCATTAGAAGACCATTTCAATACGAGCATTGTTGGAATATATTGAAAATGGAGCGAAAATGGACTAATAATCTCACCAGTAATAAGATAAAAAAAAACGCATTCAATTGGTAGTCCTGCTGAATCAAATCATGTTGAATTTTGTTATTCAACTTCATATTTAAGGGATGACACTGAACTCTCGTCCACTCCCAATCTCGATAGGCCATTGGGCAGAAAGGTTTCGAAGAAACAACTTAAAAATAAAGAGAAGCAAAACGGTGTTGAAGCATCACTAGATTATCACCACTGAAATCAAAAAATAGAAGTGGAACTACAAAAATTGAGCAGCCGACAAAATTTTTGCTCAACAAGAGATAGCATTAAAGCAACATCGTAAACAGTTAAAAATTGAAGAAAGGCAGGTGTAATAAATTGAAAGGCAAAATGAAATGAAAATGATGAAAACTGACACTACTAGCATGGACCCAACTTCTACAACATATTAGAATAATCTAAAGATAAAGATTATGAAAAAGCAGAATTTTAATTTTTAGTCGTTATTTATTATATTATGATGACTTTTGAAATTTTTACAATAAAAATATATCCGTTAAATTGTGATTGTTATGAAAACTATACCCGTTAAAATATAAATGTTAAGTTTAATTATATTTTTTAACAAAATGACATCTCATTTTAACACCTGTCATTGGAGCAGATCTATAATTCAGAAATATCAAAATACTATTCAATATTGCAAATGGGTGATTTAGCATTCCATAATGGGAACTCTATTTGGAGTTGCTCTCACATAGATACGTGAAAGATGACTTTTCAAATTGGATCAAGATAAATCATAGTAAAATTTCTGGTACACTTTTTTACTTATCAAACACAGGATAAATGAGCCTCACATATTTTTTTTTTCATATCCTACTGATATTATCACTTTTTAACCCATGATCCAAACACACTCATTAATTTAGCAAAAATTACATTTAAAACTCTTAAGGTTTGTCAATTAATCGTTTAGACTCTATGATATTTAAAATATTACACACAATACCCTGAAATTTGTATGCACGTATACAAAGACCATTGTCATTAATATCTTATAGTATATCTGTTAATAATTTACAACTAGACTCTTGAAATTTGAAGCGTGTAATATTAGACCTCTCAAGTTTAAAATATTACACTTAGACTAAAAATACTCTGATTACAAATAAAATATCAAATATTTTAAATTTACAACTAAAATTCATATTTTATTATTTTATTTATTAAAATAAAATTAAAAATAAAATTTAATTTTTTCTTTAAAAAAATCATAATTAATATTGTTGATACTAAGATTTGAACGACATTAACATTAGTTTGTTGAGCTTCAATCATCTAAAAAAAAAGTTGAATATCGGAGGAGAGTTTTAAGGGATTAATTCTTCGATGCTAAGTTAATAAGTGATTCAAAGATATGAAGTACCATTAATAAATTTTGTTAATTTCGTTATTAATAAAAAATTTAAGTATAATATTTTAAATTTAAGAAATGTAAATGTTAAACGTTTAGCGGACATCGACTATTTTGTATAAGATTTTAAATATTAAATTGTCTCTCAGTTAATTTGGATGTCATTTTCCCTTTAATTACTCCCTGCGGTTCCTAACATTTCTCGATTTCCATCCCAATTCAATTAGCAAAGGAAAAAGGCAAAAAGGTGTTGTCAAGTGGCCTCCTATCGAGATCAACATTGCATCATCACCATCGTCACTACCGTCTTCTACAAAGATCGTTTGTCTCGAACCTTTACCACCCAAGCTCAACAGTTCCACTACAAACACTGATTAACAACAACAATAGTCATACAGACAAGAAGAGCATAATTATCCCAACACTATCAAGGGTGACAACCAAACCAGCAGTGAGAGTACTCTCTACATCATCAACAGCAGCAGCTACGATGGTCAAAGCTATTAGGGTTCATGAACTCGGTGGACCTGAGGTCTCTGTGTCTCTCCATCTCTCTCTCTCGTAATGTTCTGTGGTCAAGTGAGTAAGAATGGATATTTTGGAAGAGTCTGGGGCACCCCTTTATCAAAGATAACAATTACCCATTTCGGGTTTTCTATTCTTTTCCCAAATAGTATATTGTAGGCAATTATTTGCTCAGTTTCAGCTATAACGCCTTCTGATTGTTAATTTCTAAAGCCCAAAAATTGTTTTGGAATCCAATAGTGTGTCCTTTAGACTATGCGTCACTTGAGTTTTGATGTATGTAGTTATGTCTGTGATTAACTATTCGAAAGTGAGATTATACGTGAACTTATTGTTGATTATTGATTATGTAATTCCCATGTTCCTATATATGGAATTTTGGATTTTGGGTGATTCTCGATTGGGCTTTGTGTCTGCTACTTCTGCCTAGGGATAAACGATTGCAATCCCGTTTATCATCACCCGAGCATTATCCTGTTTGTTTGAGACACTATACACGATTTTATCATCGGATAATCCTGGTTGAATGGTACCTTTACATGATTTTAGACCCTTGTACGAGAAAATTCCATTTCATTTCTGGTCACTTAAATTGTTTTTTTTCGGGTAACATAACAAATTCAGTTTTGTAGTATTTGCATGTGATTAGAACATAGTTTAGTAAGTACGATGCAATTTGTTTAGGTGTTGTGGTAGGGAGTTTTCCCACCCCCACCCACCCTTCCTAGGGGGGTGGGGGTTGGGCGACATTTTTACTTAACTAAAAATTGATTCAGGTTCTGAAATGGGAGGAAGTGGAAATAGGAGAGCCAAAGGAAGGAGAGATCAGGGTGAAGAATAAGGCCATTGGGCTTAACTTCATCGATGTATACTATCGCAAAGGAGTTTACAAGGCTGCCACAATACCTTTTACACCAGGTTCATTTCTGTTTCTTCTATTACTCTGCTGAAAATTTCTTCCAATGGAAGATGGGTTCAACTTCAGCCAAAAATATTTTGTGATTGGTAATGCAACATTTTTTTAAGATAGTAAAAGAGAAAAAGGAGAGAGATTCTATTTTCAGGGATTTCTTCTAATAATTATACTGTACAGAAATGTTTCTTGCGGGTGATTCTTCACTTGCATCCTCAGAGATGGAATCCGTCCAAGAAAGCAGGTTTATCATGTTTGGACTTCGGCCCTTGAATACTCTCCAGAATCAGAAAGCCTCAACTGACCTAAGTAACCAAAAATCTTTTCAGTTTTCGATGGCCGCAACTGACCCGAGTAACCAAAAATCTTTTGAGTTCTTAATGGCTGCAACTGGCGCAAGAAATAAACATAACTCCAAATATTGAATCATCTCACACCTTCTGTTCACGTTGGGTGTGCACTTTTTCGGTATAGATTTTCTTGATTAGGAAGACAAAGCAAGTGTTCCTGCTTGATCCAATTTGTTTATATTCATCCTCTTGTCAAAGTGCTTTTCCATTAATGAAAAGCAAGAAAAGATAGATAGGTTGGATAGGAAAGTTTGTCCTGTTCTATTTTTGCTATATGATACATTGCCTCTCCGTTAACTATATAGCCTCATGTCCTTTGGTCTCAGTTCCTGCCGAAATGCGATTAACAATTATTATCATTTTGCTTTGTTTTGTGGTAATTTTTCATTTTGGGAGGATCACTATTGTTCTTCAGGGGGAAGTATGTTTTTGTCAGGCTGCCTTACATATTTTTGTCGGACTTAAATGAGTCTCTTATTAGGGACTATAAATGCAAATGTCATTTGAATCCAGAATTGGAGTTTGGTTGAGAACTAAGCTTGCAAAACATGTTAAGTTCAGGTATGGAAGCAGTTGGTGTGGTGACTTCCGTGGGTCCTGGACTAACGGGCCGGAATGTTGGAGATCTCGTCGCTTATGCTGGTAACCCAATGGGTTCATATGCTGAAGAGCAGATCCTTCCAGCAGAAAAAGTGGTGTCTGTTCCTTCCACTATGGATCCCGTTGTAGCTGCAGCTGTCATTCTCAAAGGAATGACAGCTCAATTCCTCGTTCGTCGGTGTTTCAAGGTATGTTGCATGTATACTGAACACCTTCTGGATTCTACTAAAATTGTTGGCTGTTACATTTTTCAGCCCTTGAAAGAAAAAAATGATGGTGGAGAGTGTGGTTTTGAGTATAAAAATGAATAAATTGTAAATGGTTTTAAGTAAGGCTATCTTTTTGGTTTTATTACATATTACCATTCAGAAATTTCAGTGTTAGAAAGTCATGAAATATGCATGGAATTTGGATAATAATTGAACTAGTAGGACTTTTGTCAAGAAGATTGTGCCATTTTGATTTTTGTCAGTTAATACTAAGGTATTCATACACGAATTAAGCAGCGTTACATCAAGTGTTTAGAAATATTTTATTTGCAGCATTTTTGCAGTATCATCATCCAAAGCATGACCTTATTGCTTGTACATGACGAGTGTACACATTACTTCTGCCCTAAGAAGCATGGACACGGCCAAGCAGACACGACATTTTTAAAAACAATAGAAGACGGACATGTTGGTTATACACTACAAAAAATTATAATTTATATATAACATTATATAATTTATCACAAATATAATGATAATGATATGCAATTCATAAAAGATTCAGTATTTTATGATAGGTAAATCTTATGTGTAGTTTTTAGATTAAAGCATCATAATAGTTAATAATCATCAAAATTTTTTTAGGCAATGTGTACCTAATATATAATTTAAATAATTGCTCTCATTTTCTCGATTCCTCTTTTTTTAAACATATATTTATATCTTTTTTTTATTATTATATTTGGAGTACAATTTTAACTTGTCTAGTATTATTAATTATATATTCTCAAAATTTTAAATTTTGTTTATCATATTTCAACACATGTTTATTGTTTAGTAGTAGATACGTTCTAAAGAAGTGTCGGACATGTCATTAAAGAAGTGTTGGACACGAATCTGAAATTACAATTTTTTCATTTAATTACGGATATGGATAAAAAAGTATCAAACACGTGGCCGAAGAATGTAGATGTCCGACACGGATACGTCACCTTCTCGAGAGTGTCCGTGCTTCATAGCTTCTGCCATTGTGCATGTGCTATTTGTATAATTGCCATCATAATTATTATTAGCCTTCATCGATCAATTTCTTATATCAACTGTTTGACTGGCTGTCCTGCCTTAGTCATTCAAGGATATTTTTTTTTAGGTTGGGGGAGGGCGAAAGGTAGGGGAAGGGGAAAGGGAGAAGGTGCATTGTTTCAATTGTTCTGGTTATTGGGCATAGTATCAAAAAACTACAGGCATAATGAGCTGCTAAAAGTAAGGACTTCTAATGGTGCCCTATTTGGTCCACTTGTAATCCCTCTTTTTCAATTCGAGGAAATGTGAATTCCAGAAAAGACTTTCTGAAACCCTTTACAAAGCATCAAATTATTTGATTATCCATCAGAACTGTATCTATGTATGAAACATATATTTCTGTTTACATGCAACCCTCCTTGTGAAAAAGAGAGAAATTCTGGTTCACATAATCCTCTTTTGCTGGAGTTCAGTAAGCCATTGAACACTGTTCTGAGAATAATGTGGTTATGTTTGTCTCTATCCCTATCTGTTATAGGAATTATCATCCTAGTGGCAGAAACCCATCCATTTGTACTGTGATGACAGGTTGAACCTGGACACACAGTTCTTGTTCATGCTGCAGCAGGTGGAGTTGGGTCTCTGTTGTGCCAGTGGGCAAATGCCCTTGGTGCCACTGTCATTGGAACTGTCTCAACCAAAGAAAAGGCAGCTCAAGCCAAAGATGATGGATGCCATCATGTCATAATGTACAAGGATGAGGATTTTGTTACCCGTGTCAATGAGATAACATCAGGCAAAGGAGTTGATGTTGTCTATGATTCTGTTGGAAAGGACACCTTTCAGGTGATGCAACTCTATTCTTATGATCATATATATACCCATTAAAATTCCAGTCATGCAGAAAATACAAAGGTAGTAACTAAATGTTTGCGTGAGTTATAGTGTGATGATGTCATCAATATGTAAGTTTGTTTTTTCTGTCACTTGATATTTATTTGAGGTTCTGGAAGTTAATTTGAGCCAAGTTTACAAAAGGGTCTTGCATTATCCCAGTTGGACATCAACTTTAAGGACCGATTGAAACCCAATATGCACAAATTAGCATAGTCATCATAGGCTGAGATTGGTCAGTCTAATTTGGTTCATGGAGCCCCAGTTGCATTTAAAATTTTCTCTAGCGGTTTCTAATTGGGATGCTGTCATGCTCAGGGTTCTTTGGCATGCTTAAAAATCCGTGGATACATGGTAAGTTTTGGGCAGTCCTCTGGTACACCAGACCCACTGCCATTGTCAGCACTTGCAGCAAAATCGCTGTTCTTGACAAGGCCCCACCTCATGCACTACAATCTAACACGGGAAGAGCTGCTTGAAACTGCTGGAGAGCTATTTGCGTGCATCACATCGGGGGTCTTACGGATCCGTGTAAATCGCACCTACCCCTTATCTCAGGCGGCACAAGCGCATGCTGATCTTGAGGGTCGGAAAACATCGGGATCTGTTGTCCTGATACCAGATGGTGTTGACCAGTAAGTTCATAATCCCCAACTAGTCTTGTTTCCTCTGTTGTAGGAGTTGGGACAGTTGGATAGCACAAACATTCCAATGAGTGCAAGCTGTATTTGGTCTGGACCCAGTGTGTGAAATGCACCACCCTAGTGTGTGAAAGCCGTTGTGCAAAAGAAATAAAAATCTTGTTGATTGTAACATTTTTTTTCCTTTTAATTGGCTTGTCATGGATGTGATTTTGTTTCTTCACTGGATGCATGATTTTCCCCAGATCTGTACATGTCTAGTAAATTGATAGTGTCTCTGTCTCTTTCCTTGCATGACAATATGTTCATGGCAAGTGAATACATTGAAAATATGATTCAATAAGGCTTTGAATCTCTAATTACATAATATGAGACGAAATATAAGTTTACTTCTGGATTTTATCTAGTTGAATTCAAATTTTATCGTTGGTTTACTTGACTTAGATTAGAATTCATAAACAATTTGAATTCACCATGTTTAGGTTGGGTTCTTAGAATCGAGGACCTTAATCTTAATGATTAGATAAAAATAGAGTTGGGATTTTTCTTACCCAAATTTAATAATAATACTAAATTTTTACCTTGACAATTGAATATTTCGAGTTAAGCTTGGATTTGAATCGATATGTCCAAACTATACCCTACCCAGTATAACGGGGAGCAATTCTTGTAATTGAATTAGATGTTAAAACACTTAAAAATAGATAAATCATTATGTATTTGTAAAAAATTTACTAACACTACAAGTTCCTACTTAAATTTGTAATGATGATCTAACATCGAATAAAGTTAAAGATTTATATATATATATATTGAAAGTAATCCAAGCTTAAGTAGGCAAGATGTAATCTAACTATTTTTTTTTTATAATAAATATATTATATATATATATATATATATATCTAAAAAAGATGATAAATTTCTCATGCATAATTATCGGAGCCTAACTCTTATATCGACTGGGCCTACAGTGGTTTAATAAAATAGATCATCATTCATCATAATGGGCTCACTTTTTCCATACTGGCCCATCCTTATTCAATTAATTGGGATCATAGACATTGGACATCGAATTGTCCAACATTTACTGTTACAATAATATAATCACATCAGTAAGTATGTAAATAAATTTAATTTTTTAAATCCTAATAATATTCCTTGACCTGAAATATAAGCAAGTATCACAATTGGTGAATTTCATAAAATCACAGAAATAAACACTCGCAGCGAGTAGCTACTCCATGTGCTGCACATTCCTTTGCTGTAGTAGGGGGCATATTTGTAATTGCGTTGCGGGGACTACAACACAGTGAGGGTGCAAGCAACACCACGTAAGGTTGAAGGTTCTCTCTCTCTCTCTCTCTCTCTCTCTCTCTCTCTCTACAAACCACGAAGAGCTCTCTCTCTCCCTCTCGTTAATCCTTTTGGACTGAGAATATTTCTTCTTCATTCTTCTCCTGGACTTCTTCTCTTTCCTATATCTGCAAGTATGTGGCAAAAGGTCTGCAATTTCTCTGAATTGATCTCTTTGTTTTCCCGCATTAAGTGTATGTTATTTTCTCTCACATTTCTACCTCAAAAGGCCGCCTCTTGTTCTCTCTCCATTTCATTCCGAATCTATAGGTGTTTGCTGTGTGCATGTAAATCTACACTAAACACAACTGTGTGGATGTAAAACTTCTTTTTTCAACTGTTTTCCCTTTACAAATTACAACCCATATGCAGTTTCTATACTTCAAAATTTTCCCGCCTTTTTGGATCCATAGTACTACACTGTTTGCACCAAAAAGGTTCATGAAAGACGAAGGAGGCTCACTCAGAAGTAAGCTATGATATCTATAGGCTATTCATTCCTCTCTTCGGTGTGTATGTGTATGCAATGAGTGTCAGTTTGTGCATGGTGCAATTGTATGTAATGTATTTCTCTGTCTAAAACATGTCGTTCTCACGCTGGTTCGCATCAGAATTCCCTTTTTCTGTTATTCCTCTCTCTCTCTCTCTCTCACGCACACCCGCATGTACGCACACGCACATGAAAGAATAATAATGATATCCCTCGATGTTAACTAAAAATACAATTTTAGCTTAAAAGGTTTTCAGAAATTACACTGAATTCATTAAAATTAAATTTACAATAATCTATTGAAGTGACCACTAGTTGACCAGCTATAGAGAACAATGCTATGTATGCTAAGTGCACAAAAATTTACACCAAGTCACTTACAGCCATCAGATCAGTGGCTCCTATCACTGATCTAACGGCTGCACAAAATACATTTTTTGAAAGTAGGAGAAATAGGGGGTAAAACAGTGTGTTTTCGTCAAAGATCGCGTGGGTGCAGTGTAATTTACTGAAAATTAGATTTCAGTTTTGATGATGGAATTTCACGCGCTGCACGAAGGAAGGCGGTTTATGTGTTGGTACAAGTAGAGTTTTATTCTGGGCATTAACAGTCCATGTAGTCGCTACAAACAAAAATAGCTAAGGTGATGTCTCTGATTTGATCATCATGATTACGAACCGCATGGACGGAGCATACACGCACATCGTTGCGTCGTTATAATCTTCACCGTATATTTTCCAAATATTGAGAATGCGTGTGTGTAGCATGTGTTGAGTGTGTGTGTGTGTATATATATATATATATATATATATACCGTGATTTGCATGTAGAGAGAGAGAGGTGTATTGAGTGACTCAGGAGAATAGTGGGGGTGTTGGGTGTGGCGTGAGCAGGAAATGGAGGACTTGAAAGGGGAAGAAAAAAGCACTCTCGACGGCGCACAAATTCCATCTATGACCAAACACGACGTACTACCGCCCACTTCCGACCACTGTACCCTGCAGTGCCAGACCACCAACGGTACTACCAACATCTCTCTCTCTTTCTCTCTCTATACAAAGGAGATTTATCCAATTTATACTCTTCATTTCATCCCTTTAGTATACTATATATATGTATATCAGTTACAGTCTTAGAGAGCACAAAGTTTCGAGGAAATCGGAAAAATGTCTCACTTGCTCTCTGGATACTCAACAGATGAAGTTCCTGAACAGAACATAGAAGCGGGTTCTATCTACGAGATAGATCACTCTTACCTACCCAACAGAACTCCTGTTCAACTCAGGTCCATCCGAGTGGTAATGGTAAGTTAGAAAAAAAAACCCTAAAACGATATATGCTAGTTGGGTATTTTGAAGATAAAGCTGTGATTCATTTGACGTTTTCGGAATGATTATAAATCGTTTGTTGTAAGATTTGGATGGTTGATGTGGGTTTACTGTGTTTTTCAGGTGATGGAAAAGACGGAATGGAACGTGTCGGTAAGATTTCCAAGCGTGCAGTCTCTTCACCTGTATTTCTGCAACAGAGTGAAAGAGATGTACCCTGAACTGGACAAGAAGTTCGTGATGGGGACAAAGTTGGCCGGAAAAGTCTTACTTCGGCAAGTCCCTACTCAGGAATTCCATGAGAAAAAGCATTTTGAGGGCTTCTGGTTGGTGAACTATGCCTCAGTAATTGGTGGGTTTGGAGATGAGATCTCGAACAAGGGCATTTGTTTGTCGGAGGTAACAGGCAATGGGATGGTCCGCTGGGGTGTGCGCAGGCAAGTTAAGTTCCTTGGGAAACATACAGAAAACAGTAATCCTCAGTCTTCTTCAAGCTATGTAAACGGAGAAGAGAAAGCAAAACATGAAGTAGATGAAGAAGAAGTTGATGAGGAGGAGGAGGAAGAAGAAGAGAAAGAAGGAGTTGACGAAGGTGTCACAGAAGAAGCCGTCGAGACAGAGAAAAACCTTAAGAGGAAGAGATACACCTTCAGAAGCAGGAGTGTTCAGAAAGCAAAGAAAGTAAAACGTGAGAAGATAATGCAAAGTTATAAGAATAAGACTAAGTTAAAGAGCAGATGCAAGCAACTAGTACTCAGAAACCCCAAAGACAGATGGTCTGCAGAGAGGTAAAGAATCCCAACACCAAAGTTTACTCTATTACATTACATGTTAATACTCATGTTTAATAATTTTTACAAAGTTTTAAGCTATGTCAAGGTACAAGCTGGCGGAGGAGAACCTTTTGGAGGTAATGAAGGAAAAAGGAGCAACTATTGGTAACCCGATTCTCCGGCCAGAGCTGAGAGCGGAGGCACGGAAGCGGATTGGCGATACGGGACTGTTAGATCACCTCCTCAAGCACATGGCCGGTAAAATTGCGCCCAGTAGCACGGACCGTTTCCGGCGGCGCCACAATGCCAACGGAGCAATGGAGTATTGGTTAGAAAGTGCTGATCTTGTTGACATCAGAAGCAAGGCTGGGGTGCAAGATCCTTTCTGGGTTCCACCACCTGGTTGGAAACCTGGGGATTGTCCCACTCAGGATCCCATTTGTGCTAAGGCGCTGAAGCTACTGAAGCAAGAGACTTCCACAATCAAAAGGTAAAACAAAAACAAAAATTATATTTGCAGTGGGGCTATGAATTGTGGTGTTATCATTAATGTTAGGTGGATTATGAGTTTTGAACTTCTTTTGGGACTTCTTTCATGAACAGAGATATGGAGGAAATGTTATCCAAAAAGAAGTTGGAGGAGGAAGTGTCCAAACTGAGAAGGTAGGAAACAAGATTTCATATTTTTAAGAATATAAAGGATAGCTTTATCCATGCATGTGCTTGATCTTATTGTATGTTTCACGGATAAACAGAGAGATGGAGGAATTTTTTGCTAAGAAGAAGCTGGAGGAAAGCCAAAGTATTCTGATCTCAAACCCTGGTGGAATCAGCCAAAAGTTGGATGTGCTTGATACTTCACTGCCTTCAACTTCTAGGAGTGACCATGATGATGCACTGGTCTCATTGGTAGTTAATCAAGTGATTTGGTGTATATTCTGTGTAGCAGCTATGATTAATGAATAATTCTGTGACTGTATATTTTTAACTTGTTGGCAGGCAAAATATAAGGAACAACTGATGGTCATTTCAGATTTTCTGAAGGGGATGCAGGTATATATGAATCCTAGTACTAACTTTAATTCTACGTACTTTGAGTCCTGCAGTTTATGTTCGACATTGATGAAACCCTTCATTAATTTACACTCTGAATTGAATGAATATGTTCCTTGTTCTGTGTCTTTTGAATTGTTTGCTAGACCAGTAAAATCCTGAATTAATTTAGGACAGCACCCACGTACCATGAAAGCACACCCCTTTCCCCAAGTGTTCGACTAGTATTCTAGAACACACACGGAACTCTATTTATGGTTACCAGCTTCTTTGATATTCTCATGCACCAGATTAATGCCTTTTTGTTGATCCTTTCCTTCTCTAATATTTGACAATCTCATGCACACAAATAACTCCATGCCTTTTTTGTGCAAGACAAGCAACTCCATCACTAAGTTGCACTTGCATCTGAGCCTCTGCATGTGTGATGATAAAATTTGACAAATATAGGACATCTAAAACTAGGGGTGGGGTTGTGTTACATAAATAATGCTGCCACAAACTTCCCTACATGCTGAAATATATGTTTCACTGCTATATTTAAATACTTTCAAAATGAAAGTTCAAACAGTTGTATCTTATCCTATATATATGGTGATTAGTACATTGATAAAAAAGGACCAAGAATTAGGTACACTTCATGACCTTTGCAAATTTTATGCTGACTAATATAATACCAAGAGCAATGCAACTGGTCAGTAGTATTACTATAACTACAACGATTATGCTTTTTTATTGAAATTATATTACACGACGCATTAAGTCTGGTATTACGTTAGAATTAGGTCCCAAAATACTAGTCCCACATACTGATCATAGATAATGGAGTGCATGTAATGGATGATGATAAGACCTAGGGATTGGTAATTTGGTATGGATGCAGGAAGAGATAGGGCAGTTGACCTCCAAGGTGGATGAAAAAACAAGGTCATACTCCTCATTAAATGTGCCTGCAGAGCCTTACGCTGAAAAAGAGAAAAGACAATTGGAAGAAAGTAGCAAAGCACTGGCAGTACAACAGAAAGTAGCAGCTATAGAGAAAAGAGTTCAGGAGGAGTTGATCAGAGCCATGCACAAACAGATGCTCAACCACAAGCAGCAAAAAATACAGCGGCTGCAGAGGAAAAAGCAGCAAAGATACAAAGGCTGAAGAGTGGGTTCAGAATCTGCAAACCTCAGGGCACTTTCCTGTGGCCAAACATGGTCCGAAACAACAACAGCAACAGAAACATGTTGTCCCCTCAGGTTTTGGTCCAGGTTGAGGATCTCCTTATGGCCCCTACCCCACCTTCAGTCTCCTCCTCCACAGCCTCAGCTCCACCGCAGCTGCCATACCAAAACCACCGCAATCCAGCTTCTCCGGTCAAGCCTTTGGCCGAGAAACGTGCCGTTACAGTCACAGTCTCTACTGTCTCTAAAGGCCCAAGGCATGAGGAAGGAGACAACAATTATTCCATCACTACTGTAACAACTACTACAGCAAACAAAACCACAACTTTGATCAACCTCAATGAGGACCCCTCCAACCTTGATGATGGATTGTGTGGGACCCCATCCCCACAAAGAGCTGGTCCTACTACGAGTATGATGCCACGCGTGAGTATTACCCTTCCTCAATCCTAGCTTGTTTTTGAGTTCTCTATAATCACGAAATGTGATTAACCATTCATCCCACCACTGGTGCATATGATTCTATGGAATAACTTCAGCGAATTGAATTATAACTTTAGATACGACACAGAAACAAAACAACGATAATATATGTAATGATTTTTTTGACAATTTTGGTCCATACGCAGTTGCTGCCCCCTACTGTTGAAAGGGAGATGAATCCACAGGAGGTCGTGGGTGCTGGCACAACTGAGGCAAGAGCTATGGCGGGCTACAATCAGCAACAGCGAAGGGGATGTTCCTCCTCTTCTTCTTCCTCATGTTTGTCAAAGGGAGAAGGAAGTTGGTTGGCTCTGTCCACTCCCAACCCTGCTCACAGTGGTTCTAACCGTGGATAACCTGGGTTTTAGTGATATGTGAAGCTTTATTATGTAGTCCCATTAGAGACGTAATATAACTTGTCCTGCGGATAGGGTAAGTCTTTAGAAGAGACAACACTATTTTGTGTTAATACACTGTTTTTTGGGAAGCTGAACGGAGATCGGAAAGGGGATATATCGGAATTATATGTAGTGGTGGTCTGTTTTGGGGGGAAGATACATTTAATGATGATCAGATATATACATATGTATATGCATACAATTAATTCTTCGTTTTTTATGCATACTGTCTCATATCAAGCTTGAAGAAGTTGAAACTATTTACTCTCCGCTCATCCAAGCTGGTTTTAATTATGAGTAATGCAGACTAAATTTTGAGATCAAATTTGAAGCTCAAATGACATGACAGTTGATTATTTGAAATTTTTATTGGAGTTCAAGTGACATGACACCAATCAAAGAAGCCCAAATCAACTGTCATGTCATTTGGGCTCTAAATTTGATTTTAAAATTTGGTCAGTCTAGCATTGTTGTTTAATTATTATAATGAGCAATGTTATTGGGACATAATTTGTGGATATAATAAGTTGTCACCAATGAAATGATAATAAATTCATTTAATGCTACAATGAAACTCATCATTAAATATAATTCACTATCATTTCATTGATGATAACTCATTATGTCCCCAAATTATGTCTATAAATTATGTCTCAATAGTATTAGTGTATCATAATAGTCCCATGTTTAGTGTTTAGTTGTTCTAATCTAGTATAGGAACCCTTAATTCTAGAAAAAGAACTTGGTTTTAGAAGGCGAATTTAATTTCAAGAATGAAGGAACTTTGATTGTCGGATTTTTTTTTTTTCAAATACTTAATCCACATGGGTAAAAGATTAGTACTATTGGGTATTGGTTTAAGCATTAGGATATTTGAAACTTAATTATAATAATAATCTTGTTTTAAATTAAAACAGATACCCATTATCCAAATTGGATCTTCCCATGGACCCACCTTATTGCGTTATAGAGCCGATATGTAAAACAAAAATAAATAAAAAAGAAGTGAAAATTAATAGCTTTCCATAACTCATGGAAAAGAAATAAAGGTGTGTTACCTCTTTCTTCCATATTTAGGGGTGCAACTCGGGCAGGTTGAGTGGGTTGGACAATCAATCTAGCTCAACTCCTAGATATATAATTTTCAACTCTAACCCTAACCTTACCTCGGGTTGGGGAACTCAACCCGAGCACTGCCCGAGTTTAATTCAGACGAGCTCGGGTTGAATTCAGGTTGATAATTTCGGGCTAATTTCAAGTTACTTTACAGGTTCAATTTGGGTAGAGCTTAAAATAGGTTTGTTGAGAAAGGCAAAGAGAACGAGAGAGATAGAAAACGATAGAATAAAAATGAAAAATCAGTGCTAATGCTTTATATATATATATATATATTTTTTTTTTTTTTAATTTGTCAAGTTCGGGTTGAACTTGAGTTCACAAGACCTTAACCCGAGCCCAACCCAAATTGAATTCGGGTTGGGATTTTTTGACTCAAGCTTAATCTAAGTATTAAAAACACTTATCCAAGTCCTAATTTTTTCGGATTGGGCTCGAGTTGAAATAGAGTTGTCCAACCCAAGTTTCACCCCTATCCATATTAGACTAAAATATCTATATAATAAAATAGTTTACAATTCAAATCTTAAAAGATAAACAAAATAACTTTTGTTATTCGCAGTTGAGATCACTTTAGATTTTATTTTAAAATTAATCCAATAGCTAATATTAAAACTCCAAATTTAATAGAAAAAAATAGGTCCCTAAGGGTGAATTTAGAGTAATTTTTTAAAAGTGTTTTTAGAAATTATTTTTCATAAGTACTTTAAAAAAATATATTATTTTTAACCGCTCTACCACTACCCCCACCACAGCCACCGCCGCCGCCACCACCTCTATCGTCGTCGTCGCCGCCAACGCCATTGTCGCACCACCACTATCGCCGTTACCACCATCCCCGTCTCCACCACACCCACCACCACCACCATGGCTACTGCTACCAACGTCGTCACCATCACCGACGCCACCACCATCACGATCATTACCACCTACCACAACCATCATCATCATCTCCTACCACCACCTCTCACCCCCACTACAAAATCGATGCTTAAATATTTGGACCTAAAAATCTGACATAATTTGTTGACCTAATAAGGTGGCTTCATTAGAACCATTAGATTAACACCAAGTTTTAATATTTAATAGAGCTCATAATCAATCCAAAGATCATAGTGAATTACGTCAGCAAATTAGGTCAGTAAATTAGGTTCCAATAGCATTACTCTAAATATTTGTATCTCTTCTTTATGTTTGTCATTTGATTTTGGATATGAATACAAATATATTTATTATTTAGTATTTTTTATTATTTTGTGTCTTCAGGCACAGGCAATAACTAGTATATATAATAAAGTAACTTACAATTTAAATTTCAAAAAATAAACAAAATGACTTTTGCTATTCGCGGTTGAAATCATTTTAAATTTTACTTTAAAGTTAATCTAACGACTAATATTAACACCATAAATTTAACAGGAAAATAGGCCTCTAAGGGTATGCTTGGAATGACTTTTTAAAAGTACTTTTAGAAATTATTTTTTATAAATATTTTTAAAAGAAAATAGTGTTTGAAACCGCCCCTACCTCCACCGCCGCCACCACCCCCTACCCCCACCGTCCTCGCCACCGCCACTGCCACCCCCCACCGCCGCTGTCACCACCACCATCACCCCCACCGCCCCCACCACCACCATTATCACTGTCATCATCGCCACCACGGTCATTGTCATCCACCACAACTATCATCGTCTCCTATCACCACCACTGCTACCCATCACCTTTCACCCCCACTACAAATCAATGCTTAAATTTATTTATCTCTTCTCTATGTTTGTGATTTGATTTTAGATATGAATACAAATATATTTATTGTTTACTATTTTTTATTATTTTGTGTCTTCAGGCACTAACCATAACTAGTATATAATAAAATAGCTTACAATTCAAATTTCAAAAGATAAACAAAATAACTTTTGTTATTCGCAATTTAAATCGCTTTAAATTTTACTTTAAGTTAGGTTAATATTGACACCCTAAATTTAATAAGAAAAATAGGGCCATAAGGGTGTGTTTGAAGTGACTTTTTAAAATTATTTCTCATAAATACTTTAAAAAAAATAGTGTTTGAAACTGCCCCACCACTACTTCTATCACCCCTATCGCCACCGCCGCCACCTTCGCTACCATCACCGCCACCGCTAACATCCTCGTCGCCACCATCACCAACGCCGTTACCACCACTACTGTTGTAGCTGCCACACCACCATTGTTGCTGTCCCCATCACCATCGCCGCCACCCCCTACCGTCCACTACCACCACCGTTGCCGTCGCCATCACGGTCATTGCCACACACCACAACCATCACCGTTTCTTACCACCACCACTGCCGCCCACCACCTCTCACCCCATTACAAACTGATGCTTAAATTAAATTTTTTTTCTCTATATTTTGTGATTTGATTTTGAATATAAATACAAATATGTTTATTATTTTTTATTTTTTATTACTCTATACCTTTCGGTACAAACAATACTTAGTTCTAAATATGACAAAACACCACTTACTTTTTAAACACGTACGAGTAGGGTACAAGCAATATTGGACGTGTACAATATATTATGGAAATTAACTTAATTCTAGTGCTAGTTATTTACGAATTTGATATGGTAAATTAATTTGATTGCCATCTATAATTTTGCATTTATTTGTGTAATTTAATTAACAGATTATTATCAACTAGGTGACTTATTGATTTGTGTTGAGTTAATAATTTATAATAAGAATTATTGCACCGTATCAAATAAGTGACCTAATATCATTTCCATCACCCTCTTTATCTTCACTCAATTTCTATTTTGGGGATTTTTTTTTTTCTCTTGACTATTTGAGAGAATTAATTACTAAAAAACAAACTTCAATAAACAGTTATTTTAGACTAAGTAAAATACAGGGCCTAATTGCCTCTACACATTTGAAGAGTTTATCTTACTCTCTATTTTATTTTTAATAAATAAAAAATAACATATACATATCATCATTTATTAAATGCCTTGAACTTGGTTATTTTCTACTAGAAAAAATTGTACATTAGAATTTTTTAAAAAATTTACTATCTATTTTAACTTTTTATTAAAGATATTTTTTATTTAAAATTATGAAAAATTGAGAATATTATTGAAGATGGGAGTTCTCAACCAATTCATAAGAATAATGTTATTTAAATCTAATTTATTAACTTAATTATTTAAGATTTTTTTTTTTGGTAAAAAATTAGGTAGTAATACAGAATACATACATAATTTTTATATTCGCACCCTACCCTACCGTATATATATATTAATCTCTAAAGATTAAAATCAAAAAATTTAGAAAATTCTAATATTTTATTAATGTTTATTTCTTTCTTATATATAATGTATTGATAATTATGATTTTTTTATTATATTTTATTGTAATTGTTTATGTATTATTGAATTTATTATATATTTTTTTTGTATTATTGATTTACTGTGTTAATTAATTAGTATAGAATGATCTAAAAATTAATAATTAAAAAATGTGTATTTATCTAATTTTTAACCTAATTATTTTAGATAAAAATAATATATTTTATCGGATAGGAAAGACTAAAAAAGAAAAATTCGTACCCCCAGCTCGAAGTCTCTCTTCTTCCCCCAAGTCATCACGTATAAAATAATCAAAAAATATATATTTTTCGAAAACATAAACCGCATCAGTTAAAAAGGCATCTGATCAAATTCCCATTCAAAATTTCTAGGGTTTCCATCCAATTCTCATTCGATCCAATTCTCCCTTTGTTGAATCTTTCTGTGATATATACATTCGTCTGTAGCGATGGTGTTGTCGCAGAAGATCCACGAAGCATTCAAAGGGACGATGGAGAGGATCACAAGTCCTCGCACCGTTTCCGCGTTCAAAGAGAAAGGCGTTCTCAGCATCAACGAGTTCATAATCGCCGGCGACAATCTCGTCTCTAAATGCCCTACTTGGTCCTGGTATAATTTTCCACTCTTTTAACGTTTCAATTCTTCAATTATTTGCTCGGTGAGCCTATATTGGTTGGCTAGTATTGCTTCAATCTGGGAAGATTTAATCGAATTTGAATTCGATTACCGAAACACACCCACAGATAAAGATTGTCATATACTGAACACTTTTAGGGACTCATGCATGGTCGACGGTAATTTTGCAATTGGCGGGGATAATGTGATTGCTGCTGCTTGAAATTGAAAGAGAATGTTATCGCCAGTCATGAATGGGGTTCACGAGAAATATCTTCACTCTTTGATTGGTATTTTTCCCTTATACTATTAGGAGCAGCTCTAATGGAGGTAAGTTGATTCAGAATAGGTTTAGATGGTTTTGTCATATTCAACTGATCAGCCTCAGTTAGAAAAAGTGATAGAATTTCTCTTAATGCTGATAAGAGTAGGGGTAGACCTAAATTAATATTGAACGAAATGATAAGAAAAGATATGAAAATATTTAACTTAAATGAGGGTATAATACATGACCAAAATGAATGGTGATGACGAACTCATATAGCTGTCCTCAAAATGATTGGGATATAAAGCTTAGATTGGTTGGTTGGTTAGTTGGTATACTAGTGAATTTGATTATGGTCCGGAGAGTTTAGGAGAATTGGTAACTGAAGACATGGTGCTTTCAGAAATGGGATCGTGAAAATGGACCTCATTTTTGCAGCTGATATATTGTGACTCTCTTTGGTGGAACTCACTATTTAAATTTTCGATTGTTTAGCAGTAGTTGATGGAATTCGAACCATAGAAGCCCTCAATTTACCACTCTTTCAATGCAACATTTTGTGGTTGCACTCAGTTTTCTTTTTTTTTCCAGAAAGTCACTCACTTAGGTTAGGATTGATGAAACGTGTGTAGGGAAATACCCAATTAACAACGAAAAGGACTGTGTAGTGGACCACAAAAAATAATTATTTTAAGTAATTGAGAGTGCGATCCTATAAGCGTTTAGACTGTTGATCCAGTATTCTATTACTTGATGTTCACTACCCAATTTTAATTCTTCTAATGACCCACAAGGTTATGTATGGATTCTAATGACCCACAAGGTTATGTATGGACATGAAATCAATTGATTCTATAGTAGACTTCCTTTTCTTTTCTTTTTTTTTATTTCAGCTAGCTTCTCATTCTTCTCTATTGTGTGGCTAGGGAGTCAGGAGAGCCAAGCAAAAGGAAGTCATATTTACCTGCTGAGAAACAATTCTTGATCACCAGGAATGGTAATTGATTGACTCCAGTTGTTCGGTACCAATTAAGATAACCTTTATTTAGTTGATTAATAATCCTGTATTGTTTATGCACCATTGAGGACCAATACTATGTCCGTAGCAAATTTGTTTGTGCTTTTCATTCTTTTTCTTCTGTAATTGGTCCAATCTTCTAGTCATATATTTTGAGGTTTTCCATGAAACTGATGCACATTGTGAGAGCTCCAATATCGTGCCAATATCCAGCTATACCACACAAAGTACAAACATTGAAGGGGACTTCAATATGTTGCAACCAATTGATGGCAAAGGAAGCTTTTCCAACAAGCTTTGCCCTCAACTTATAGAAAGAAGCCAAAAGCAAGTCCCTTGTGATTGAATTCTAAGGCATTCTCATAAGTGCCTGGGCTGAGGGATTCAAAGAGAGACTAAAATGGGCTTCTTACTTTTAGTGATTCTGTTACGTCAAAGCTCCTGACGGAGATTTTTTGTATCTCAGAATCCTCTGAAAGTTTTAAACTTCTTTGTACCATTTGAATCTCCGGAATGGCAACTTTTATTTATTTTTGAAATTTCAGTTCCTTGCCTACGGAGAGCTGCATCAGTAGAAGAAGAATATGAAGCTGCTGGAGGTGAAGTCCTACTTGATAACGAGGATAATGATGGCTGGCTGGCAACTCATGGGAAACCAAAAGGTATTATGTTCTGGTTGGATATATTGGCATCTTCTCGCTCTTTTGTTAGAAGGATGTAAGTTTCTCTTTTGACTTTATGCCATATATTTCATTAGAAAACAAAAGCGATGAGGAGGAACTTTTGCCTTCCATGGATACTTTAGAAGTCAGCAAGAAGATTACTATTCAGTCAATTTCTTCATACTTTGGCGGTGAGGAGGAAGACATTCCAGACATGGCAGGATATGAAGAATCAGACAACCTTATTGAAATGGATCCTGTAAGTTATCAAAAGGCACCTTATTTTCAGTAGTTTAATGGTCGTGGATGTAGGTGTGTTTCTTCCATTCAATCTTCAGAGTCAGAATCTCATATTTTGTCAATCATACACGCACTTATCTATTGCAGGCAACACTTCAGTCTGGATATCTTGTGGCTCACGAGCCTGACGACGACGACAATATTTTACGAACTCGAACTTATGATGTCAGCATCACGTAAGTTAATTAAACTGCTAAGTTCTTGTTAACTACTTCAAGTTTACTTGCACTTAGACATTGGTTTAGTTCTTTGGTGCATTCACACAATTATGATGTGGTCTTCTATCTCTCTCTCCCTCTATCTCTTATTTTAATTTCAGGTACGATAAATATTACCAAACTCCTCGTGTGTGGCTTACTGGATACGATGAGGTTGGTTATATTATTTTATACTCTACTTGTGGGTAATTTGTTTCAATTATGACAAAGTGTTATTATTGTTTTCTAGATTGAAGTTGATTCACTAATGCTCTACAAGCTAGCAACCAATGCTACAAATCCATACAAACTTATGTCCAGGGGTTTATTTTGAACTGTAATAGTGTTGTTTGCAAAGTATTTTACAGATGGTTTCTTAACCTGTATATTGAGTTCTTCTGGTGGTTTTTTTTGCATAGCATTTACAAATCTTTTATAGATTAATTTGGGTAAATTTTGGCAGAAAATATATTATGATTGGTGCTGAATGTAACTGTCAGAACTAATTTGTGAACAATGAGGAAGATTTTCATAAACCACTTTGATTATACATGTGTTTGTCCAGCTTAACTTTGGATCTTTACATGAAAAACTTTTACAAAATGTCTGGACGAATTTTGTAGCCTAATTGTCTTCCCAGGATAGTTCTTGGCTGTGAAGATAACATTTTCTCATAAAAGATCCTGAATCGTATGATACATTTTCGATTAGTGTATTACCTTGTTTACTTCATCCTTTTTGGCAGCATCACTTCGTTTCATAGTTCATCTTAAATTTCCCATGCTGCGAAAATTTCAAATCCCAGAAGTACATCCTTTGTGCTCCATCGACTCTTAACAGTATATATTGCTATATACTATTTCGAGCATTTAGTTTCTTGTAATTTTTAAGGCAATGTTGGGTGACTTACACAACGTGAATGGAAATTAATAAATTTCAATATTTTTATGAAAAACCTGCCTTGGTTGTGTAATGTACATATTGTAAACTAACAATATAATACAACGTTAATACATCATAACAAAAGGTGTGCTATCATGAATTTTTCACTCAAAAGTTGTGGCATTTAGGCATTCCACATTGCCAAGTATCTTCAGTGATGAACCTTATGCAAGTCATTATATTTTTATTGGCTGGGGTTGATTTAGAATATCAAAAAAGCAATCTAGATGTTTAAACTTTTATGAAATGCAATTTTTAGTCTGATGGTCTTTAATTGATTTGTCAAGTTTTCTTTTTGGTTTTTTGTTGCAGTCAAGGATTCTTCTGCAACCAGAGCTTGTACTCGAAGATGTTAGTCAAGACCATGCACGCAAAACGGTAAGATATTGAATTTTCAAGTATGTAATTGAGTATCTCAACAAGCTTCTCTTTTATATTTGAGGAATTTCATCGTAATAGATATATGTCAGCAAGCTCAAGATGGTATAACTTTATAGTACAAAATTAATCCAAAAAGATATCACAGAAACATTACTTTTTTCAAGTCCAGATTGTGATGAAATTGCATAGTGACCTTTGGAGGTGGTGAGATCTTTATTTGGTTTCAGGTAGGATGGTCTCTCTGTAGATTAACACAAGTTTGACGATTATTAAATAATTCGACCTGAGAAAAATGTTCCTTAGAAAGGAATATCTCTTAATCCAACGTATGATGTGAGAATCGTTTTATCATGGGATCTTGTGGTTCACCTGTCTATATGTTTCACATTACAAGAAAAATTTAGGTATAGCCTCTTCTATTACTACCCCTGTTATGTAAGCCCTATGTCAGCCACGTGTTTTGGCATAATAAAGATGTGTCCTTTGGCTAACTGAATATGAAAATACTTTCAATCTTTTTCTTCTTTTTGGCTTCCATATCTGTCCTTGCATTTTCAATCTCAGCTTTTTGATCCGGGGCTTTGATATTTCCAGGATTTGAATTTAGCAATGTTTCAATTTCTGTGCTTTACTTCCATATCAAGAAAAAGAATTCTAAGGGCCCCAAAAGATTTAGTTCTTCTAGTTTCAGAACTGGTTGAATGAGAACTGGAATTATCTGGACTTTGAACAATTTGGATGGACACAGCGCACGAAAAGACGTGTGTAGCTTTTCTGTTGCTTGAATCTTGATGTCAAAAGTTGTGGTTCATATTGTTAGAGCTTGTCCCACATTAGTAAAATACCACCTTCCAAACTAACATACGAGTCTTTTGAGCCTCTTTACTCATTGTCAATTAGTTTTTGAATAAGATGCATTTAATATGATATCAGAACTGGGAATGGGGAAGGTTTGGACAAGACTCAATTTCTCCGTTTTGGCAATTGATTTCCCTTTTGTTTATGCCATAGGTGCACTTGTTATGTCTCTGAATTGGTCTCTGCTTTCTCTGTTTGTCTTTCTATCATTCCATGTGCAAGTGGTGGTCACACGGGGGAGTTAATGGTTTCCACTTTGATAAAATAACACATCCCAAACTAGGATATAACTAGTATTAGAGCATTGTAGGCCTCTCCACTCATTGCCGATGGAGAGGATGCTTTAATACATTCATCTTGTAATTGGAGCTTCATCAAGAAATTCTCATGACATATATAGTCTGTGGATGTAATTAGTAAGGGACCATGTGCTAAAAACCAAAACTTAATATGCTGCATATGTTTTTGTAAAGTTAGCAAAATCTTATGCGCCAAAATTTGTCGTTCGATTTATAGTCTAACAGCATATTAAAATATTTGGTGGCTGAGGATGTGGAACGAATATCATAAATATCACAAGCTCTGCGACTAATTACTTAGAGTATGTAGCAAACTATGGTTTGCAGTTTAGTGGCATAGAATGTATAATCCGAAATAATTATAATCACCAAAAGAAATGTCCAACGACATTTGATATAAAACAAATTTGTTAAATGTGGCCATCAATTTTTATGGTACTCTTCATGGCTGATTTCAGATCCAGGATGCTAGACTAAGCTGCTGTATATAGAGGTGAAGTACAAGCAGAATTATGCTTAAATTCTATTTTTTTCTTGTAAATCTATTCGTTAAGAGTTTCGTCACATGGGAAGTGATAAGTTACCATCTTCTGATACTGCATTACCAGTGTGACCATGGTCTATGTTTTTGACTTACCTTCCTGCTCATTCCATGTTGATGTGTTCTTATGCTTCTTTGAATGTTGATTACTTCGATGTGTTGATTCTTCTTTTTCTTCTATTACTTGCTCTTCTTTTAGTTTTTTTTGGGGTCAAAGTCATTGAACTATATCTAAACTTTATTAAACTCAGGTGACCATTGAAGACCACCCGCACTTGCCTGGCAAGCATGCATCTGTACACCCATGCCGACATGGGGCTGTGATGAAGAAAATCATTGATGTTCTAATGTCACGAGGAGTTGAGCCAGAAGTTGACAAGTAATTTTCGTTTCTGATTCCACGCACGATTGAGATCTGATTCGTTATTGCTTTTCTGATGCCGTGCACATTTAAGTAATCAAATCAAAACGTATATCATGAAAGTCTAACTGGAAAAAACTCCGAAATTGTAAGCTTTGTAGCTAATTGCAGGGTCTAGATTGTGTCTAGTATGCTTCATTTTGATTTGATTATCCTCTTTTGCTCCAACCATACTTTTTAGATTGTTATCGAAATCAAATGGTCTACTGTTGAACTGTCACTCATTGTTATTGAAGATAAATAGATCAGTGGTAATGTTTAGACAGAGGGCTATAGCCGGAAGCATGTGGTGGTTTATTTCCATGTTGTTCTCTTGCAAGTTGTTAAAAGATTGATGATTATTCAACTAACCAGTCAAACTGATGCTTTTTACGTGTTTGGAGTTTGTAACCTCTCTTTCTTTATCGATCTCTATTATTTTGTTTTTTTCATTCTGTGTGTTTTGTGTTTTTTTTTTGGAGGGGGGGTTCACTCTTGTTCTGGGGTATCAATCTAAACAGGACTTTTACAGGTACCTTTTCTTATTCTTGAAATTTGTGGCTTCTGTGATTCCAACTATTGAATATGATTACACTATGGACTTCGATCTTGGTAGCTCCAGCACTTGATTTAAAGGTAAATTCCCATTCCCTTCCGTATTTTTATTCCATCTAAATGTTCCTGGTATCTTTATTTCAGTTAAAGGTATTGTACTTCGTACTTTTGTTTGTCACTATGGTTGTCAACACCATAGTGTTCTAATGGTCAGCCTTGTTCTATAAAGTTGAATACATTGTCCACCCAAAGCGTTGGCAAAAATACTTTGTTTTTTGTTAGCCAAACAATATTCTCAATCAACCCGGGCATATGAATAGCCGAAATGCCATTGAGGTGATCTTGTGTGTTTTTTTTGCTTTTGCAAACACATTTAATAACTGAGGGAGGATGAGGTTGCTTGATTTTTTTTTACTCCATTTGGCACTGAAGGATATAAGAGTGCTCCCACGTCAGAGGGTATAAGGAAATTCACTTTCCTTTACCTTGCTAATTATGGATGTTCCATTCTTCCATTTGTTTTTTATTTTCTTGGCAAATTGCACTTAGACCTCTTCAACTATGCCCCCCCCCCCCCCCACCCCACCTCAAAATTATTCTTTTTTTTTCCTTGCATGTTAAACTATTGGTTTGAGTTTCATATTACTCCAATCATTGACTTTTGTCCAAATTTTTAAGGCAATTCTGGGCAAAAATAGTATTCCACATTGTTAGAAGATGTGATCTATCCCTATTCAGTTGGGGCGGAATTTTATTTTTGTCTTGATTTGTTGTGAAAAATTGAACAAATTGGGGCAATATGAAACTAAAACCATTATATCTTTTCTTTTTATGCATATATCCACTGCCATTTGCATATTGGTCACTCATTTGATAAGCTAATCTCGTTCCTCTTGGACTCGCTCCATCGTTATGATTCATTATTTAAATAATTTGGTGATGATTTTGTATTTGTTGGTGACTCAGTATTTTGATGATTCTGGAATCGCGAGTCTACCCTTTATGCAAGCGGCATTTATGAAGTGTTGCTGAAGCAGTTGGTTCTGGTGTATTTATCTCTTCATCTTGCTGCATTCATCTATGCTGCAACAACCCCCCACCCCCACACACAAAAAACCCAAAAAAAAAAAAAAACTGTATATATGACTTATAAATGAAAGATGTCGAAAACCCCATCTTTGTGAATCTCTGTAAGTATTATCTTAAAGCCATTCATATTGTAAAATAGTACAAATTTGATACCAGACCTTTGTTGGTAAAAAGCACAATTCACTGGTTTATTTATACGTGTAATGTGCGGTTAATTTAGTTGAAGTAAGCTTTAGTTTTTGGATTGCTCCCCTTAGACCTTAACCCTCCCCCATCCAGCGAAAATTGAAACTTTATTACATATTGATATTAGAGTGGTTGGTTCTATCATGTCATGGTCCTATTTTGAAGTCTCAGTCATTTGATATCTCTTTACTATAGTCGTTTTGTTGGACTAAGAGCATACATAGTTTTGGATTTCATTTTAGATTACTTTTTTCAAGGTTAGATAACATGTTATAAATTTTAGTTACTAATTATGTATACTATATTTCCTATTAATAACGGATCCGCTTATAAGTTTGAATTTGTGGTACTAATAGCGGACTCAGGAGTCTGGATCCTCTGTTGTATAGTAGGGATGTTCTTCAAAATGATATTGTTTAACACACAAAATGATAAAAACGATGTCATTTTGAAGAATATCACCTCTGCTACCGGAGGATCTGTTCTGCTCACCCCAGGGGATCCGATGAAGTGCACCTTTCCTCATAAAACTCTTTGTTTTAAGAGGTGCAAAAGAACCACTGTAATGCCACAATGTCAAGAAATCTAATCTTTTATGATTGGTTGTGGAATTTCTTACTTTATGGTCCCCATCCAACATTATTTATGTCGGTAGGATCAAATCTTATCTTGTCCATACCCTCATTAAAGCTAATAAATATCTTATTGAAACCATATGTATGTATGGCTCGAGCTATCAAGATTTTTTATTTTACAGATTATTTTAATAAAAAAAATTAAAATAGAGAGCAAAATATTTTATACAACTCCAATAAAACTCTAATCTAGTAAAAATATATTTTACAGTGAATAATATTTAATGAAGAGTGCACATGTGTGATTTTATCATTCAACAATTATAGAAAAGAGGGTAAATTTTATACTAAAAAAAAAGTGTCAAAGTTTAGTATTCAAATAAAAGAGGGATTTAACTCAAGTGCAGTTTAAGTGGTAATAAAAACGAATTGTAAATTTTAATTATTTTTAACTGGGCCAAAGAGAGAAAATTAGTCGAGGTGCGCGTGTAAGTTGGTCCGAATATTTTTTAACTATTGAATCAAAAAATAAAATAAAATAAAATTAGGGTCTGACCAAAGAAAATAAAATAAAAGAGGGGTGAATTGGTCCTTTTAGTAGATACAAGTGCATGCACCGTAGCATTATCCATCTATAAAAGTGACCCACTACTCTCTGATAATGCATCAAGGAAAGAGAGAGAGACGATGACGTGCCGCTGCATCTTCTCACTGGTTCTGCTCACTGTCTTCTTCTCAGCCATAGCTGGAGACTCTGTAAGTTCAATCCAAATTCATCATCACTTCAACATTTCATATTCATCATCACCACCATCAAAACATCTTCATTGATTTACATTAGACGATATCTTAGCATTTACCCAGATTCATAGATCCATCCATCATTCATCCTGTAACGCCATTGGTGAACAACATTATGATCAGATCACATCAGTTCTTTTTTATGAACTAGCCATCAGATCTACAATACTTGCTTTGTGATCAGTCTTGTGTTTATTATTCAGTTTTTAGAAACATTAACGGTAACTCAAGTGGCATAAGGAACGAGTTATAAACTTCGACATGCTTTTAATCTAGAATTGATGATTTATTTTGACTGAATCGAATCAAAAAGTGGATTAATCTAAATGTACATAAAAGTGGATTAATCTAAATATGCATAAACTGGCTAGACACGCGTATTATTAAACCAAAAAAAGAAAAAAGTTTTAGACAATGTAACATGAATTATCCACGTCTACAACTACAACTATATAGTTATTAATTCCAGGCATTTGTAGTATTTGATTATGCTAGAGCCTCTATTTAATAATCCTATCCATCGCCAATGATTCAACAATGAAAATATAATATAATGTGGACTTCGACATGAAAAATGCATATTTTAGAAACAAGAGATAAAAACCAATTAGATCTAGTCTAGGCGTTTGCCACTAATGTTTTCAACTAGCAGATGAGGAGTTAATCCCTGCATAAGGTAAAGATTCTTTTCCACCGAGTCGTCTTTCTCTTGATTTTAAATCTCTACACCCATAAAAGTTTGTCGGTCAAGTTTGTATTTGCAACATTTTTCGAGTTGTTAAGTGAACTATTATCGAATTTACTATTGTATATATGAAAAAAGGGGAATATTTGATAAAGATTTCGATTTGGAAATTGGAATTGACTAACAACTAATCTTCTATTATGATGCAGAATAATTGTGTATACACCTTCTACGTCCAAACAGGCACAATCATAAAGGCCGGAACAGACTCCAAAATCAGCTTAAGACTCGGTGACTCCGACGGCCAATCAGTGTGGGTCCCAGATCTACAGAAATGGGGCCTGATGGGCCCAAAATACGACTACTACGAAAGAGGCAATCTGGACATCTTCACTGGACGAGGCCCATGTATTGGCTCACCAATTTGCAGCCTCAACCTGACCTCGGATGGGTCTGGCTCACACCATGGTTGGTTCTGTGACTATGTTGAGGTCACTTCAACTGGGCCTCACCAGACCTGTAGTAAGTCCATATTCTACGTGGACCAATGGTTGGCCACTGATGCTGCCCCTACAAATTGACTGCTTTGCTTGATGGGTGCAAGAAGGAGAATGGTCCAATGGAGCATGGAATAACTGGGCTTTTTGTTGTGGGCAAGCCCATTGGGTCTGCTTCAGAATGATGTGAAGTTGTGAACTTTTAGAGAGAGAGAGAGATTGAGATTTTATGTTTTTCTCCCTTTTTTTTTTTTGTTTTTCTTGTAAGAACCGGATGATTTTGAGCCGATGTTGATGGCCTTCTATTATTGACGAGTTGTTTATGAGGGTCTTGACAAAGATTCCTAGTTGCTTGGTATATGCTAGTCTCTTATTCTTTCGAAATGACAACTAACATGTATGCAAACTCTTGGGATGTGAGGAGGCCAATGCGGATTGAAGTCATTCGATTGGATATGAACATTCAATTTAAATTTCAACCCCTTTTTTTTATGGATTATTTGAAAACATCACTTAATGATTAAAATTAAATATTTTAAATACTTAGGCCTTGTATCATAGACTTATTATGGGGGATTAAATATTTGATTGTACTATTTTTTATTTAATCGGGCTCTAATGTTTTATTTGGTAAGTAAATTTGATACCGTATTAATTTCAAAAACGTATATTAATCATATATTTTTTCTATGATTGACCTGTATTATAGAGATATTTAAATACCACCAAGAGATATGATATTATAATCCAACTCAAACGTATTATTTTACACATTTACTATTATAACCCCTAACTGATAAAATCAAGTTTTCATCAATATAATAAACATTGATTAAGGGTATTTTTGTTAATTCAACATTAATACGATGAAATAATTATTTAACTAAACAACCAATTGGATTAAATAACTATTATCTAACATTTGTATTATGTGTTACCAAACACTAAATAAAATTAAGTATTATTTTAATATCATATATTAATCTTATCTTTTGTTCATCTATATTGTATTAGATTGAATTACTTTATATAATACATCCATTTCTATTACAGCAACAAAACAAACCCTTAATGAATTAAGTCTATTTGATAACCTAAAACTCATACTAATTAATATTTTAAGTGTTTCTTAAAAATAGACAAAAATCTTAAGTAACAAGACATCTACTTATCACTTAATATTGAAAAATGTTAGACATTATTTTATAAATTTCTCATAATTGACAAATATATTTTTAATAATACATTTTACACTCTTAACTTTTCAATACTCACCATTCACCACTACCATTATTGTGTTCATCACCATTGTGCCATCATAACCACCACCATTTTGTCACCACCACTGTCATTGTGATGGTGATGGTAAAAATTAGGTATTTACAGTGAAATGGTTAAAAAGAATGAGAACATTAACATAATAATAATTTTTAGATTTTAGCTTCTTATATTTGTCAAAGAGTTTGATTCAATTCAATACTTAAATTTCAATGGATATCAAATAGTTTTTAAATTAAAAAATTCAGTATTTAATTTTTAATATTCAATTTTATTAAACACTGTTGTTGATACGTTAATTTCAACTAGTTTAGTCTTTAAAAAGGCAAATGAGTTTTCTTTTGCAAATTATTCGGCTAGGGCTATGTTTCTTAATTTTCATCCTGCTCTCTGATACTAACGAGAAATTTTTTCAAGGCAAGACGACAATAGATCCAACCTTACGAGATAAATTTTTGATACCTAACAATTACTCGCTAACTATTAATATTGTTTAGATGTTAAAAAACATCGACAATCAAACTTAGAATGCTTGCGTTCATGATTCACTCTCAATCTAATTCTACACTATTAAGTTTCGTACAAGTTCCCATGTATAATCTTTAAGAGGTGTGGGATAAAAAGAATATGTTCTAAATTCTGCACATTTCATGAAGTCATCATTAGTATTACAAAGGAATCAAACTACATGAGATAGAAAGTAAAGTCTTCCCTCAGTAAACACTTACTTACCCTATTTTCCGATTTTTTTTAATCAAAATTCACAATTTCATTTTATTTAGTTCCAATATAATCACTCTCTCAATTTTCTCATTCTTCCCTTAAATTTCCGCTCCTTTTTTTTTTCTTCTAACTTTTTATTTTCTTATTCACTTCTTTCTCTAACAAGAACGACAATTATCTAACAAGAATGACAATTACAATAACTCTCAAGTTTGCACACAAAAATATAATAGAAAAAGAAAAGAGTTCTTTGGAAGCCGGTACAACTAATTAGACTTATTTAACAAAAAATATATAGAAAAAAATGTTTTGGCAAAAAATACACAGCTGAGATACAAATACGTAAATACCCATTTTACGGTCATTTAATTTAAAATATCTTATCTTTAATGTACCTTGATTCATGTTCATTTGTTAATATATATATATATATACACTTGTTGTTAAATCTCTTATTTAAATTTTGAATTATCTTTAATGCACCTTGATTCATGCGTTTTTTTTTAAAAGTGATTTTATTTTTAAATTTTATTTAATGCACTTTGATTCATGCGTTTTTTTTTTTTGAAAGTAGTTTTATTTTCAAATTAATTTAATATCTGAATAACGTATTAGTGTAACAATAACAGTGTAACAAACTATTTATACAAAATATTATATTATTACATATTGTCAAACATATAGTTTCATTCAAAATAATACATATATGTTGTGAATTTGTTACCACATACACAAAATTACTGAACACTATTTTTGTTACATTGTTATTGTTACACTATTACACTATTTATATATTAAATTAATTTGAAAATAAAACAACTTTTTCAAAAAAAAAACGCATGAATCAAAGTACATTAAATATAATTTGAACACAAAATCACTTTAAAAAAAAATGCATGAATCAAGGTGCATTAAAGATAAATCAAAATTTAAATAAGATTTTTTAACAACAAGTATATATATATATATGTATAAAAGTTTTTCCATAAAACTAAGAGATGTTTAATGCACCACTTTTCAAATAAAAAACACATGGATTAATAGAGGGAAAAAATGTCACAAAAAAATCAATAAAATACAAATAATGTATTTAGATACAAATAAATATTAAAATTAAGAACTTAATTACCCAATATTTTTTTCGTGTACTTTTTTGCAATTAAATCTAATTTGGTGGACCTCCTTCAAATTTCCCCAAAAGAAAAACATGTTATTTGGAAACTGGTACATCTAATTAGACTTATTTGGCAAAATAGTACATAGAACAAAATGTGAATTAAAAATACATAAATGCCCATTTTAGGGTCATTTAATTCAAAATCTCTTATTTTTAATGCACTTTGATTCATGTGTGTTTGTTAATACATATAAAAACATATTTAATGCACATTTGATTCATGTGTATTTGTTAATACATGTAAAAATATATATATATATATATATATATATATATATATATATATATATATATATATATATATATATATACACACACTTGTTTATATACACGTATAAACAAATATATATAGTATACTTATTTATACCCACGTATATACGAATATATATACTTATTTACACACACACACACACACATATATATATATATTGTTAAATCTCTTATTTAAATTTTGAATTATCTTTAATGCACTTTAATTCATGCATATTTTTTTTTTGAAAAGTGATTTTGTTTTCAAATTATATTTAATGCACCTTGATTCAAGAATATTTTTTTTAAATAGTTTTATTTTTAAATTAATTTAATATCCGAATAATGTAATAGTATAACAATAACAATGTAACAAATATACTGTAATAAAGACAGTGTAACAAATACACTGTAACAAAAATAATGTTCAGTAATTTTGTGTATATGGTAACAAATTCAAAACGGAGATGAACTATTTTGAATGAAATTATATGAAATTATATGTTTGACAAAATGTAATAGTATAATATTTTGTATAAATAGTTTGTTACACTATTATTGTTATACTGTTACATTATTAGTATTACACTTTTGTTGTTACACTTTATATTGTTATACTGTTATTGTTATACAATTACATTATTCAGATATTAAATTAATTTGAAAATAAAACCACTTTAAAAAAAAATGCATGAATCAATGTGCATTAAAAGATAATTCAAAATTTAGATAAGAGATTTAACAACAAATATATATATATATATATTAAAGTTCTCTCATAAAATTAGGAGATATTTAATGAACCATTTTTCAAAAAAAAATGGTGCATTAAATACACATGGATTAATGAAGGGTAAAAATGTCACAATAAAAATAAATAAATTCAAATTATGTATTTAAATATAAATAAGTATCAAAATTAAATATTTAATAACCCTACATTTCTTAACATGTACGTTTACTAAATAAGTTTTATTTGGCGAACCCTTACAAGTTACCCAATAAATATTATTCAAATCCCAGTTAGCTTCTAAATTACAAAAAGCCTCCAATTGTTGTCCAGTCCCGGCCCACAAAGAGCCCAACCCGGTTGATACTGGTGCCAGAACCGGGTTGATCTCGATAAAAACTCCAGCCCTTTGGCGAATTTGGTCTTTTTACATATTCTCATAAGCCACTCTCTAAAACCCTAATTGAGACCGTGCCCGTATATATTAACTCTCACCACTACTTGTACCTCAGCCGAAGCAGCAGAGATAAGCCGCACATAGCACCACCAGGTCGGCGAGAATGGGTATGCTTGTCTAGATGCACTTTCGTCTTCTCTGTAACTCTGTTCTTTTCATGACATCAAGCAATTTCTATATACGTGCTCTTGTGTATGTTTTGTGTACATTTAATTCTTCCTTTCAGTATTTTCACGTTGAAATGAGGCAAATCCATTGATGGGTTTTTAATTTTTCCTTGATTCTGATTGATGGGTATTTTAATTTGGTATGATTTTGAGAAATAGCATGCGTTTTTTTTTTTTTTTTGGTGCTATAGCATCCGCGTATGTGATTGATTTTGTTAGTTCTTTCCCTCTTTAGTTTTTTTATGCGTCTGCGTGTGTGTATGTGTGTTTATGATGCTAAGACTTTTGAGAATATGAGAATCTGTATTGTACTCCGATTCTCACGAGGCTTTGGATTTGGGTTCTATTGTTAGCATTTTTTATGGGGATCATACAAATGCAAACATGGTCACGAACACGGACGTCAGGAGTGATATTTACATACCCATATACATCTACTAAGATGTGTGGATTTTGATTTTAAAAGTTGGTATTTTATTTGGGTGGTGACGTTAGGGGCTTACACCTACGTCTCGGAGCTATGGAGGAAGAAGCAATCGGATGTGATGAGGTTTTTGCTGAGGGTGAGGTGCTGGGAGTACCGCCAGCTTCCTTCCATTGTGCGAGTCACCAGACCCACTCGCCCTGATAAGGCCCGCCGCCTGGGTTACAAAGCCAAGCAGGTATAATAGTAGTGATTGATATGGATTTTCGGTTGATGGTCTGTACTATCCTGAATGTTGTAAATATTTTGTTGAATTTTCATCGCATTCACAATATTTTGTTTAATGACTTGCCAACTCATGGTTAAGGTTACACCCTGTATTATCATGATGATTCTGGTTGAGTTTAATACCATCATGCTGTTAGCTACTTTGTATGTAATATGGATCCAAACCCTGGTTTTGAATTTTTAGTAGATATTCTGAATGATTTGGTGTTCAACTGCTGTTCATATTGAAAATGGCAAGAATGCTTCTCTGTGCATATTTATATCCGGATTTTGTTTGGGTCTTGTGAATGTAGCTCATAGTGATACTCAAGCACACTGTTGTCCAGTTGACCATAATATTCAGTGTTACAGCTTTCAAAGTGAATGATTAATTTTTATGAACATAATATACTTATTTAGGTGCTGAGTATTTTAAGTTGGTGTCTGTTACCACAAAAAAATCTGATTATTTTGGTTTCACTTATGGTGTAGCATTTCAATAAATAATAGTCTGATTTATACATTTTGGCCGGTTACACAACTTATTGAGTACCATGATGCATATATAAATGGTCGTGAATGTTCAGACAACTCTATTCCATACCTCTCTCTTGCATGTCACTAACCATAGGGGCTACTGATGCTCTTTTTTCAGTACTGTTTATTTTCCCATCAACTGTCTTTGTGTTTTAATGACTTGGGTTAATAAACTTTTCAGGGTTATGTTGTCTATCGTGTACGTGTAAGGCGTGGTGGACGGAAGAGACCAGTTCCTAAGGGTATCGTGTATGGAAAGCCCACAAACCAAGGTGTCACTCAGCTGAAATTTCAACGAAGCAAGCGCTCAGTTGCGGAGGAACGTGCTGGCAGGAAGCTGGGTGGTCTTAGGGTTGTCAATTCTTACTGGATCAATGAGGTTTGTACCACAACATACATCCTTTCCCAGTTTCATTTCTGCCATTTGTCTTCGGGAATGTGAATTCTGTGCTTTTACACCATGATAGGTACACCATCTTAACAGTAATGCAAATTCTAGTTTAACTCCATCACCATGATGATGGCTCTTGTTTTTCACTTCTTTGGATATCTCATAAAATTGTATGGATCCTATGTGTTGGTTATGCTTGAATACTATACATATGTGCTGCTTTCCTGTTTTTAGGGTTTAGACACCATGCTACATATATATTACAGATCTAGATCCATTCATGCATTTGAGTTTTGACATTTGTTTGGAATTCCATTTTTGTAACTCTCTACTGTCTTTAATGAAGGATTCCACTTACAAGTACTATGAGGTAATCTTGGTCGATGTTGCCCATGCTGCAATCCGCAATGACCCAAGGATCAACTGGATCTGCAATCCTGTTCACAAGCACAGAGAGCTTCGTGGACTCACCTCTGCAGGGAAAAAATACAGGGGTCTTCGTGGAAGGGGACACTTGCACCATAAGGCACGACCTTCAAGAAGGGCTACCTGGAAGAGGAACCAGACTCTATCCCTCCGTCGCTACCGTTGATCTTGTTAACGATATTGGTCCTCTTATTTTCATTCTAATTTTGGTTTGTCTGCCATTGGATTTTTGTTTCTTTGAGACTATTGAGTTTCCAGTTTCTCTGTCAAGATATCTAGTAGTCTGCTTGGTTTGTGGGATATTATATCAAATATGAGCACCTTCAATTTTATCATTTTAGATAAAAATGGTGGACATCAGGACATGTTTGCATATTTGTGTTTGGATATAGCCTTGTTCTTCTCCTCTCTTCTACGGTTTGATAAGTGAAAAAATCTTGGAAGCTGCTATGACTGATAAAGATGGACATAATGTGCAAAGAAGTCGGAATCATTTAGTCTCTGTTGTAATTAATGGTGATAATTTTGGATACAACACTTTGGGCTCATATTTGCGGCAGTTACTTTGGACGTTAGTTCACTAACACGAACGTGAACCCGGCACAAAAGTATAGGATGGTCCTTCATTCAAAGAATGGATCAAAACTTGTGAAGCACCTTCAATCTCAAATCATTGAAACCCTTCTTGTAAAAGCTAAATGGTCACCATCTACATCCCTTGCAATGGTGTGGCAAGTTTGGATTCTATTAAAGGTAATCCCTCGCCCCAAAGTAAGTTGATGTTCTCGATCGAGGCAATTTATATTGTTGATAGCCAGGAATCTTCCCAATATGCAATCATTTACACAGAGCACATTACATGAAATTTTATTCAATTAAAAAATTAGAATTTAAATTTTACATGTCAATAGGTTAAATTTGAAATGATGCTAAATATTCATTCGTGCAAACAATACATCATAAATTTGAGTTTGCAAATCAGATTTATCAAATGAATATAAAACTACTTATCATTTATGATGGCCCAGGCCAGACCCAACTCGGATAGTGGACTCGGTCCAGATGAAGGCCAGTGAATATGGCCTAGAAGAGACCCAAATTAAGTCAGGTTCATCAAAACCCTGACAGTCACGCCATTTTAGAATGAAGGAGTCAACAACGTCATCTTAGAGTCTCATCCACGCCATCTTAGAGTGAAGAGGTCTGCCACGCCAACACATGGGGGCATCTCTCATATCTTATATCTCGTCTATTATTCACACTTGAATAATCCTTAAAACAACAAAACACCCAAGTCATTCTAACTTTTTACAGTTGAGTAAGTCATTTTGACCAAACTATTTAAATTGTGTTTTACTTTTATTCACTCTCTCCTTATTTATTTACTGCATTAATTAGTTGACAGGTGATTCATAAAATCAAAACTTGACTGACGAATGGACTCCAAATCGGGCCAGTTATTTCAATGGATTATTTGTGTATAAAAATTGTTTATAACTCATTGAACCGGACAACTTTTTGAAAAATGGTTCCACCCGGACAGGTTTTAACAAATCAAGCTGGTAATTAAAAATGGGATAAAATTCGAGGGCATATTTGGTTTGCTTCTTCAAAATAATTTTTTGTTCTCAAAATTTTAAAAATACGTAAAACCTATTTGTTTAACATTTTTGTTCTCTAAAATTTGGAAAAAAAATGAGATTTGAGTCAAAGAAACAAAAAATATGTGTAGCTTGTTTTCAGGGTTTTCTTTAAAAATTTTAGAAATAAGGAGAACAATTTTGGATGTTTAGATATGAGTATATATATATATATATATATATATAAACAGAAGTGTGTTTGAATTTTATCCCAGTCATATTTTTTCCCTCAAAATCATCATCAATCACTTACCTCACTCCATCGTCCCTCTGTCAGACTCAAACGTCAAGTCGTATCATATCACTCATTTTTATCATATGTTTAATAAATTTAATATTTAATTAATTTATAGTTAATATAAATTTTATTTTAAACATTATTCATATACAATAGTATACACATATTGAAAAAATTTAATATAGTGAGATTGATTTTTTGAGCATTCGAATTATATATTTTATCGTGTTTTTCGGCACGGATTATGACTAGTTTATTTATATTATATATATATATATGTGTGTGTGTGTGTAAATATATATATTTATATATTATAAATTATCAATATAAAAATAATTTTTTTTATTAATGTTTGAATTATTTTTTAAATATATATTTAGGCTGTTTAAACAAGTTTTATTATTTTCTATATTATAAAATTATTTTTAAAATAATCTAACAAAACAAATTTTTTATTTCAAAAAAATCAAAATTATTTTCTTAAAATTTTGCTCAAAAATTATTTTCAAATAATATTTTTTGAAACTGAAACCAGCCCCGAGTTTTTGGACCATTTTTGACTTAATTTGCTTTGCGCCTTTTCAACTCTTCTGTTCTGCCTTCTGCCCCTCGCCTCTGCCTCTGCCTCTGCCTCTGCCTCTGCCTCGACGAGACTGAGAGTCTCAGCCCTTAGGCTTTCACCTCTCGTATAAATCGCCAGGAGAAGGGGAATCGAAACTGAGAAGCTTCTCTGCCTGGTGAAAGATTAGGGCTTTAACCATCTGACTATCCGAGGTAATTTCTGCTATTAATTTCAATTGCTTGCTTTTTTTGATTTTGATTTTCTGTATGCATTCTTTGATTTCAGCTCTAAATTTTAGATCAGTGTAGTCGAGTCCTCTTTGTATCTTCAAATCAAATTTTGATTTCAGGTGTGCTAAAAATTGGGCTGATTGCAGTTCTTTCTGCGTAAAGATTTTTCTTTTTCGTCTTTGTCTTTTGCTTCATTTGGTGCTGAGAAAATAATGGAAAATATAAGAAATTAAAGTTCCTATTTCAACATTGATCAGATTCTCACTTTGCTGATAACATGTAGATTACTAGGCTGCTTCACTTTGATTTCTTGCTTTGACAATTTCTTGATTTGTCAATTGGTCTGCTTATGCGATTTTGACGATAGAGATGTCAGGTTGAGCCGGTAAGAAGAACAGCTAGGGTTCGGTCAAAAGACTCTGGGTTCAATTCGTCACTCCTCTAGGTTGAAGCCCGTAGTCTCAAAACAGAGATCTTCTGAGATTTTCCTAGTGAAGCAAGAAAGGGAAAATTAGGCGAACATGTCGAAGCCTTCTTCTTCTCCCGGGAGTGAGCAACCTCAATCAATCGGAGACGGTGACCGTTCAGCTAATCTATCTCGCACTTTCAAGTACTTATTGGGTTAGCTTCTTCCTCTTTCAATCTCGTCTGTCTTAATTTCTCATAATCCAAAACTATTTCAATTTGATCATCTCGTTCTCTCTCTCTCTCTCTCTATATATTTATATATATATATTTATGTGTGTGCATAAATTAATGTATAATATGCGTTTAGCTACACAGTTTTTGTCGAGAGGAATCCCATTTATATTCAATTCGTGGATCGTCAGACACCTTACCGAAGAAGACTATGCGGTAAATTTTTTAAACTTGTTTGGCTATTTTGTAATAATTTGTTGTGCTTCCAATTGGACTCTAACCTCTATTTGGTTTACCCAATGTAGATGTATGCTATACAATTTCATCTGTTTGTCACCTGTGTCTTGTTTCTTAGTCGAGAGGGTTTTCGGCGAGCATGCATGAGGGCAGACATCAGATGGTATTTCCACATGCTTATACCCCAGCTCTTCTTTGTCTAGTTCTCTGTTATCAACTAGATTGGTTCTATTGTTTCTCTGTAACATGCTTTCCGTTGGTTTTGATTTGGTCTCGATGTCAGGGCATCAATAGTTAAAGAATTTGATCTAAATCTTAGGGTTACAGGAGCTCCAATGGATTGTTGTCTGTTGAATTTAATTTAGTGAAACTTGTGGCAAAGTAGATGCAGGAAGTTGTGCATGGTATGGTTTGAAGTAAGGGAGTTAAATGGTATAACCAACCACCTTCAATTATCAACTCATAACAACTTTAGTGTAGATTTTTTTCTGAATGGTATCCCCTGTAACACACCTTCAGATACTTTGTCAATCTCAGCTGCAACAAGGAGAATGCAAACATTCTAAAAACAATAGATAATTTGACTTGTTTTTTTGTTTGCACCTGATTAATTACTTTGGTCTTATCTTGCAGCGATGATTCTTCAATGGCTGAAAATGCAGCAAAGCTTTTGAAAGTAGCCTGGATGATTCTCCCACTTGGAGTAGTCATTACAATTGCAGCATGTATATTTGTTTTCTGGTGGCAAGCACTAAGTTATTCTAATCCATATGGGCAAGCTATCTTGATTAATGGTAATCTGCTACTTCGCTACAAGACTTTTTAAATGCTATGTTGTAACGCTCCCGGTTTCCCGGACCCGTTACTTGATTAAATCAATTGATCGATAAGAAACCATAAATAAATCTCCAAATATTGGGCCAAAGCTCTAATTGGCTCAATAAATTTATAATCACAATTTTGATCTCCAAATTAAAAAAAAATAATAATAATCTCCTCGATATACAAAGTTAAAAATTATATCAAGATTTATCCGTATTCAATTCCTCAAATATCAACTTTGGTCCTTCCCTCCAAGATAATCCTGAAAAATATTAAAAGCGGGAAAGTATACAATATGATAGGAAATAATATACTCAACGAGAAAAGAATATGAATAATCAAATACCAAATAATTCTTTCGATAGACAATCATAGACAGAAGGATCAAGAATCCAATTTGATAAGTCACATAGCTCAATTTTTATCAAATATAGCCTCATACTCGGGTCCTCTTGGTGACATGACAAGTGACATTTGGACATTTAAAATTCACACTCATATCGAACCATTACACCCCTCAGGGCTGTAATCACAATCGTACCCCGCAGGGCCATAATCACATTTCACTAATTATGCCCTCAAGTATACTTCGTACATGTACCAATCGATCTCAAAGTATTTAGCCCGACGTACACGTACAGGTCAACCGATAACATTGACAGAATTTTATATAAATCAGAATAATCAATAGCAATACAAAATTTTAGATAATGAAAGGACACTCTTTGCAAAGAGATTTAAAAGACAAGAGCATATAGTGCACTACCCCGTACCTCCAATCCTGCAATAACTTTAATAAATGCGAAATTCAAAATACTGCGAATGACATAGTCAAATTTGATAGCGATTTAAAAGAAAATCATTGCTCAATTTTTGAACCCAAAATCTCATAAATTTTTTTTCTATTCCATTTATCTCTTTCTCTCTTTCTCTTTCTCCTTCTTCTCCTCTCTCTCTCTTTCCTTTTTCTCTTTCTGCCGTGTTTGTTGCTTGGCCTCGGCCTTGGCTATTTGTAGCCAAGATTTACTTGGTCCCCAAGCATCCTATGGACACTTGTCCATGTTCTCTTCCTCTTTTTTTTTTCCCTTTCTCTTGCACGTTTTTCATTTGCTCACTTGTTGTCTAACACTTATACAACACATATATATTCATTCATCACATATATTCATTCATTATATATATATATATTTATAGATATATTTATTCATTATCTTATTACGAAACTTGACGTAAATTATAATAAGTTGACTCGTTTTCACATAAAGAGTCTATTTATTTATTTAATTTTTTTTTTAAAATTACCTTTAATTATATAGAATCATAATTGACGACCTAAATTAGCATGCTAGTGATTATTTTATATACGGGTCGTCACATATGTTGTGCAAGGTTTTTTCCTCTTGCTGCCTGTTTATAGACTTCCGTTACTGGTAGCAAATCCATTACTCCATGGTGCCAATGTACTATTTGGCATTTAATATATAGAGAGTGATATATATATGGATTAGGTTTTTAGATCATTGGTGCCAACATGCATTTGGCAAAAGCTGATATGTGTCAAATATCAATCACAGTGTTTTGAAAAGCTTGCCAAGGCGAGAAGCGAGGTGAGGCGAGCTTATCTCGCCTGGAGGATCCTAGGCGAAGCGAACGTGAGCGAAGCGAGAAAAAAGCGCGAAGAAGCGAAAAAAGCGAAAAAGCGAACGCTTTATTATAAGAGGCGATTCTGCTTCACTTTTTTTTTTTTTTCCTGATTACAGGTTAGTAGTCTCTTTTATTTTTTAATCACTAATGACTTTTTTTTTAGACTATTGCTGGTCTATTTTTTTTTTTCTAATAAAAAATATTTCGAACAAAACACATTCCTTTTTTTTCCTTGTGTTGCTGAATTCATTTAGAATATTTGTGGGATGTGGGAGTCAGGCGACTGCATGACAAAATTATGATAAAGAAAGGAAGTAGGAGTATCAAGAATGAAGGTAAATAATAGAGTCTTCTACAAAGAAGTGTCCCTGATATGTCTTGGTTATACCTTTTCCTTTTCTTATATATATACAAATGGTACCAAAAAGTGGTCTATCCTTATACCATGTTTAATTATTTTAGTACATGTGAAATGTGCTTTTGTTCTGCTTTTTTTATTCAGTACATAATTACATATGAAATTGTTTACAATTGATTCTGCTCTTGTCATGATCATTGTGCTTCTGTTTTTTTTTTAGCTCATTTTGCTTCTATTTTTTTTTTAGCTCATTCTGCTTCTATTTTTTTTTGTTGATTCTGTTGCAGCTTCGGTTTTGCTGTCCTGTGTTACTTATGTTTTTTTTTATCCTCATTCTGCTTCTTTTTTTTTGTTGCTGATTCTGCTGCTGTCCTGATTCTGCTTCTTTTGTTGTCTTACCCTGTCAATATAAAAATATATACAATTGTTAGTATTTGTTTGAATTTAAATGTTTAAGTTATGACTGTTATTAAGATTTGAGATATTATTAGTGTTTGTTTTAATTTAAATGTTTATGGTTTTACTTGCATTTAAATATTTAGTATATATAAAATTAGAATTTAGATTGTTTAGAAGTAATTAAACTAAAATATATATTTTTTTTAACTGTTCGCTTTGCTTCGGTAAAGAGTGTCGCTTCGCTTCTCGCCTAGGCGTTAGGAGTCTTGGTCGCTTCGGTTCGCTTTATGCTTTAAATAACACTGATCAATCATTTGATCAACCATGGCATGAAGATACCAGACTCATTGAAAAAAAACGACATGGAGATTCCTGCATGATTCATTTGGCATCAAATTAATATTCTCTTTCCTATTGTTTTATGGCTCTATGCAAAATTTGTTATGTGATATTGGTTCATCCCTTTATACAGGATTTGCATGTATGCTAGAGCTACTGGCAGAACCCTTATATATTCTTTCTCAGAACTTGTTGCTCCTCAAACTACGGTTGATGGTTGAAACTGCAGCTACTCTTTTCCGTTGTGTAACAACGTACATCCTCATCGTCAAGCAAACTGACATGGTAAAAAATTTAAGTGGACTGTCTTGTGAACCATTGTGGCTTATCTTTTTATGGTTCTTTATCTTATTCTACTGTAGAGTTGGAAGCTAGAATAGGAAATTGTGACTTGGGCACCTTGTTTGATTCCATTTGCAATCATATGTTGATTCTGATCATATCTATTTGAGCTTGAACTTTTGCTTCTGAATTCTAGCAATATGGAGGCGGCATGGATGCTCATTTCATTCGAGTCTTCTTTTGAGATAATGCATCAAATTGAAGAAGATCCTTGTATTATTGGCTCCACGTAGAATATTGGGGCCCATAATTTCTTGTTTCTTATGCTGATATATCTCATAGGTCTTGGAGAATGGTCTTGGGAGATGCCTTTCTTGTCTCTAATTTATATGGACTTGTTTTTCTTCTTTTGTTGGCGCTAAGTTTTAGTGTGCTTTATAAACATGTGTTAAGATAAAGCTGCTAATATGATTTTTTTTCCCTATTTGTAGGAGAAAGGGATTGTATTTGCATTGTCACAAACTGCATTTGGGGCTTGCATGCTCTTTGGTTATTGGGTCTACTTCCTTCTTTTTCATAGATATAAAAGTTCCAATCTTTTTCCTTTCAGGTATTGTTTCTTTTGCTCTGTATCTTATTCACTCCATTGACAAGAATACGTCATTTTTGTAGCAAAAGTAAAAAATGGAACTAGATACTTTGACTGATAGGAAACTAAATATGCTAAAAATTGTAGTGAGGGACAACTTTCAGATTGGATTTCTCATACTAAACATCCACTATGATATTTGGCTCTGGTTGCCTTTGGGGGCAGGAGAATGTTTCCCTCTCCTGTGGTTTGACTGCACCAAATCAATTAAGAAGTTGCCTGCCGGTCCCACCTACATTTGTCAATCACCTTTATCTCTCTGGCATTTACTTCCCTTGACTAGATGCAGTTGTTGTCATGCTTAAATGGATTTTTCTTTAATGTAATTGGTAGACCATTGTAATATTTTCCATATATTTATTTTGTCTTTTTGCCAAATGGTAAACAAACCCAAACCCCTTTAACATATGTGTTGGATGGATCCTTTCTTAACTAGTGTCATCAATTATCTTTAGTCTGATCTAATGCTTCTCCCACACCACTCAACAGACAGTTTCATATTGGTTAACATGGGGTTAGTGAAATTTAAGTTTTATAGTTTGGATGTTTACTATTTTTTAACATATGACCTGATGCAAAAAGTCATAGTTTAAGAAGATTAATAGGGTTTATTGCAATTATATTGTAGCCTTATTATAGGCATTGATCACACATTCTCTAGGAGGCAGCTTAAATTTTTTTGATTGGTTTTATGTTAAACTTATGCATCTATAGTACGTAATTGCTTTATATTGATGTGCTGCTTTTTAATATTATTCATCACTAGAGTGATTAGTTAATGACATACGGTCTTGCAGAATAGGACGTATGATGGATTATGATAGACAGCTGTCAAGCATGTGTATGTTGTTTACCCTTCAATCATTTCGGAAGTTGATCCTGCAAGAAGGAGAAAAGATGGTCCTTGTATGGTTGGATACACCATATAACCAAGCTGTATATGGACTCGTAGACAAGTTAGGTATGCAACAGTGCAAAACACTCTGTGTACTGCAAATGGTTGAGATCGTTGGATCTGGAGCTTTCTTAATGACTAGTTACTCTTGATCTGGAATGTACGCTCATTATTTTCTGAGCATGCTTCTATTTCTGGGTAACATTTCTGAGCCTGCTTAAATAGATCATCATACTTGGTATTTCAGGAAGTTTAGTGGTGAGATTGGTGTTTCTGCCCTTTGAAGAAAGTTCATATGTCACATTTGCAAGGTGTGCATCAGGTTTACTTCTTCATCCTCGATATTCAATTCATTTTGTAGTGACGAGATTCATATTTGTCATTTTGACTTGTGACATTAACTTCTTCTACATGTTAGCTCATTATTTTTGAATCTATTGCTTGCTAGCCAATGTCTTGTTATGAGGTCATGGAAAAATAAGAAATGTCTCATACCATCTGGCAGCTTTAGATTCTGGGCTTCCAGATTTCTGGATGAGATATCTTAATACTTGATTATTTTCCAAAATATCCGAAAACATCTGAAGATAAAAAACATAAAGTGGCTTTCTTTTCTAATTTTGCTATGAGGCCATTACCCCATGTTCCCACCTACGGGATGCTGGCCCTGCTGGGTGTGGCAAATAGTGTACCGACTTGACCCCCACCGTTACATTCATGAAGTAGCTGCTTTGACACTAACCAGTGTTCTTACACTTGTTAGCCTGATATTTTATGATTGCACTAAGCTATCCTAAAATTCTATCTGAGATTTTTTGTTTGCCCTTCCTTATCTTTTTTGTTTCATTTTTTAGAGGATGAATTATTGTAATGTTGTAATTCCAACAAAGCTAGTGCTTTGTGGGGCTGTCCTGAAACCTAGAAATGTTAAACTATCTAGTAAACTAGTGGTGGCATTCGTACATGCAGGTAACTGTGAAAGAATTTATATTATTTCTATTTATCCTTCTGGAATATTTATGCCCAAATGGCACCAGTTATGCTTGGTTCAATTATTATAGGAAGTATTTCTAGCTTTACATATGCCTCTTTTAACATCTAACTCTTATTGGATTTCTTGTCCAAGACATCTAGCTAGTTTTTTTCAAAAAAAATTTGGGCTGTCAGTGTGTTCTATGCGTGCATGCGTTTATCTCTAGCTTTTGTCATAATGGGAGGATAAACAAGGTTGGTAAGTTTTTACAGTGGATGGTGAAAGTTTTATGTGTTTCAGTTGGCCTTGGTACTATATTTCTGTAAAAGATGAACATGATACAGTATTGCAAATAAGAGTGGATATTGTCTAATAGAACAAGAATTATGGGTTGAGCTCTTGAGAGCAACTTGGTCTACGGTCTATGGTTCACATGCTTGGTAAATAGTGAAGTCAGGACCACGGTTCAGCCCAAAATACAAACAGGGGAAAGAAGTCAGGACTGAGGTTGGTGAACCCAGCCATGGAAGTGATCAAAAGAAGAAACTTGGCCATGGATTATGAGTTCTAATTGCTTCATTAGTCTAAGAAAGATGGGTAAAGGAGATTTTCAAAGAGTAATTCAGGGATTATTACTGGATTACAGTGATGTGGGAAAAGAAAGGAACAGAAAGCCGACAATGGTTATCTGACCTGGCTATATTCATGTAACTGTTTCAGCAAATTCTTAATCATGACCACACCCCTCTATCTCCTCTCAGACAAGTTTTATTGTCACCGTTCCCTTTGATTAGTGACTGAATGGAAAAGAAATCAACATTCATACTAATTATTATTGTATTGTAATCTGTTTGACAACTGAATTAGCAACATAGTTGCTCTGGCAAAAATAATGGAATTTGTGACTGGCTATTGCAGTTGTGTTTGTTATTTTATTTTATCCTTGTGAATCATCCTAGACCATATCCTTGAAAACAGTAGTCCTTTTGTGGGGGTGCATTTGGTCAACTTAGTAAAGTTCATTTGCATCACATGAGGTTTGTTGGTTCCGTCTTTCATAAGTAGTAAAAATTTAATCTTTTTTTTGGTTCTTTCTATTTTGGCAGGAGAATATGCTCATAAAAGCAGGAAGTTAGGCAGTTGTCTAACAGATGCCCTGAAGCTTGTTTTGTTAATAGGTATTTACTTTTCTGTGGTTTGTATCTTTGTGAATCTTTTGTATCTATACTAATTCAACTTTTTATTTGGTCTCTATCGAGAAATTAATGTTGCTCTGACGTGATTAATACTGGTTGTCATATGTGACGCAGTGGTAATGAATGGACACGAAGAGATCACCGTTTTAAGCTATAGAACAATTACACTTTGAATCCACAGAGAAAAGGAAGAGAAAACTCTCAAAATGTTGTAATATTCAATTCATTAACTGATTAGAATTTGTAGTACATATGACAATTTATAAGAAAACCCAAAACCCAAAGATTTTGAAAACGGAAACAAAGCCCTAGTCTTAGAAAAATTACTAAAAACAAATAAACACGTTTGATGAATTAGGAAAATTGACATGTTTTGGGAAACTAAATATCCTAGAATACTGCCAATTAAATATTAAGTCTAATAGCACAATCAAATAAAATAAAATATAAAAGTTATTCACCTCGTTCTACATCATACCCTCTCTCTTAAAAAAAAACACATCATCGAGTTTCCATTGATTGGAACAATTGGTGTGTCTATGCTTATCTGCATCTATCTTGTACTTCAAATTAATCTTTTCTAGTCCCACACAGATTGAAATAATATCTTTGTCTGTCCCTGATTCGGCAATCAAAAATTCTATAAAAGATGTTGTAGAAGCTTGTGTAGTAGCACAAGTTGCCCAATCAGAATTGCTCTCTTCATGGTACTTTTCTGCAACCTTCTCAATGTGTAGGCAAACTTTGATAGGCTTAAAGTGCTCACTTATTGACTTGCTGGAATTGTTATGATGATCAAGAAAATTATTCTCATGTGCTTTTTCATCACAACGTTTATCTTCTTCGTCAAACTCCGATATGTCGGGTTCAACTATAAACACTTCAGTTGTCGTATCATCACTTTTGGCTTTACCATTAATTTTGTCTTCTTTTTTCTCCTTTGAGTAACTTTCAAAAGGCTCCCCAACATCACCCTAAGTCCACTATGTTTTATCAATGTCTTCAATATTTTCTTGTTGAAAATTCAATTTTTTTCTTTTCTGTACTTGCACAAATTTTAAACATGATAATATTTCAATCTGTCTTTTTTTTTATTGATTTTCTGATCCCTCCACATGCATGAAAAATTCATATTCATTGGCTTCTAATATGAAATTTGAGACCCCGAATAACCATTATAAAATGAAAAATATTGTGACCTAGTAGTATCCTAAATTGATTGTCCTGATCTAAATTCTCGTTGTTGCCTCATTGATCAATGTACATCATATTCTTCAACATCATTGCAATATGTAATAGGTGATACTCTCGTAGACGGACCATGAAAACTTTGCCTTAAACGATAGACATGATTATAGTCTTGAATAGGTTGAACACGAGTTCTATCCTCCTTTTACACTTTATCTTGATTGAGATCCTGGTTTGGACTCAACATCAACTGTGCAACTGTAGCCCACAACTATTGCAAGGACTGCTAGAGCTGCTGTTGTTGTTGAAAGTCCAAGAATGCAGCCTTGGGAGAGCCCTTTTTCCAAGATCACCGTTATGGAAAAAATTGTCACCCATTCCCTGATTAGTGATCATGTTAGATCAGTCAAGATTTTGATACCAATTGACGCAACAATAATAAATGGACATGAAGAGATCACCATCTCTAAGCGTATAGAACAAGAACACTCGGAATCTATGGAGAAAAAGAAGAGAAAATTCTCAAAATATTGTAATATTCAATTCATTAACTGATTAGCATTCGTAGTTCATAGGACAATTTATAAGAAAATCCAAAATGCCAAGATTTTAAAACGTAAACGGATCCCTAGTCTTTGGAATGTTACCAAGACCAAATAAACACATGTTTGATGAATTAGGAAAATGAACATGTGTTAGGAAACTAAATATCCTACAATATTGCTAACTAAATCCTAATTCTAACAACGCAATAAAATAAAATAAAATAAAAAAGTTGTCAATCTTGTTCTACATTCATATGCTTGCTAAAGTAGTACTAATAGCCCACAGAGCTAGAGACTTTTTAATGAAATGACAGAATGAATCCTTGAGATATGAGAGAGTAGTGAGTGAGGTGTTGGGGTATTGTTGACTATTTGGCTAGCCAAACAAGGCTATTAGAAACAATTTAATGGGTGATTGAAAGGACAGGACAAATTTTGAAAGGGGTTATCTTTTAAGATAATTGACAAAGCACCAAGAGGAAGCAAAATGAGAGAGTTTACCAGTGGTACAGTTATGCGATTAAAACTTAATAACTGCAGAGTCCGATATGGTTAGGGAATGCCGAGCGACTAACAAGGATACTATAGAGGGCTAAAGTTGAGGTATAGAGCATAGTTGTTAGTATCGTACGATACGCGATACGTATTGTACGATACAGAGGTAAAACGATACGGATCATAGTTGTGTATTATTTTTGCACCGTATCGTTCGACACACGATACGTTTTTACGATACGATACGTATCGGTACAATACGTATCGGTACGATACGACCGATACACATAAAACCTGTTTTTTTTTTTTCTCTGAAACGACGTCGTTTTGTCTAAATAAGACACTAATTTTTTTTTTTGTATAAAAATTTCTGAATCTTGATTAATTTTATGGATTGAGTTCAAAATAGATGTTAGAAATTTGGATTAAAAGTCTCTTTGGGGTTTGAAGTTTGAATTAGTGAACTATGGTTGTAAACTTTGCATTATAATATTAGCGAATTATGTTGATGACTTGAATAGGTGGTGAAGTACGAATGAAATGCTATATTTTTACGAGTGCATGATTTTTTTCAAAGGTATATATATTTTTTTATTATTTATTTAAAATTGCACCGTATCTTACGATACACTATTTTTAAAAAACAATACGCCTTCCGATACACGATTTGATAACTATGGTACAGAGATAACTTAATTTGCATTCATTGAAAGAACTAGTGAAAAGCCTCGCACAATGTGCAGGGTTAAAGAAATGAAAAACATGTCGGTATTATCTCTTTGCTTAACGAAGAAGGATATAAGACCTAAAAACCAAGGAAGAAGGGAATGAGTATATGTCTCTCATAGTTTAGTAGTATGTGTTATTCTGAAAAGTAAATATATTATTTCTGGTAAAACAGTTAGTATTATATAGATGTATTCCATTAAGTTCGTTATAAGAAAGTATATTTTCTTAGAGTGAATGAGTATGAGAATACTCACTCGTGAGATAACACTGCCTCTACCCGTAAAACCTGAACAGAATATCCTTACTGATTGTATTAATTCCAATCATACCCCAGCTCCTCATGTACAAAGAAGAAAAGATGCTGACATCCTAACAGTTTAGGTTTGTTGCTCCCGATGCTATTGGTTGCTAATGAAATGCCGCAGAAGTAGTATATTTTGGTAGTAGGGTTATATAGACAAAATGGAAGGGAGGATAAGTGTCATAAATAAAGATTTCAATTATTAGCCGGTGGACATTGTTGCTTGTTTTGCCTCCCATTTTTTTTGTCCCTGAAAATTTCAAAAATATCCTCACCAGTCTAATCAATTCTCTTTATTGTCCTGTGTTCGATTGATGCTTTCTATGTGCAATTTCTATGAGCAGAGTCATCTTTTTGAGAATCCCTTCATGTTGTGTTAATTGTTTGGTTGTTTCAACTACATATTCTCCAGGGCTGGTAGTTGTCGCATTTGGTCCAAGCTATTCTTATTCTCTTATCAGATTGTTGTACGGTCGGAAATGGAGTGATGGAGAAGCATCGACAGCCCTTCAATATTATTGCCTGTATGTTATACTTTTGGCCATGAATGGTAAGCAAAAGGTTATATTATTTTGTCAAGTTATGTTTTCTGTCTATCTGCTTGGTGAATATTTGCTTCTTGTAGCTCACAATTTGATATTGTTACAAGAAACTTTTTGCCCTCTGATTTTGCATCAGGAACATCTGAAGCGTTTTTGCACGCAGTTGCAACAGAGAATCAATTAAAGCGATCAAATGATTCCTTGCTTGTATTCTCGTTAATTTACCTAGTAATGAATGTCTTACTAATACGATCAGCTGGTGCAGTCGGATTAATTGCTGCAAATTCCTTGAGTATCCTTTTATGTTGGGACTGACAACACTGGTGGCTTTTGTTGTTTCTATGGTAGCATGACTGAGTTCCTTCTGTTTAGCTTTTTACCTGTCATCAATCATAATCTGCTTCTTGATACCAGAATTTTGTTTCTCCATTCAGCTGCCGAAGGATTGCTTTAGTAATGTATGACCTAAGGCACCATTCCTTTACTATAAACACAAGTACAGATAACTTATTATGATCTAATATGGTAAACCAATGTATATCATATTATTCTAACACGGAATATTGAGGAGGGTTAAGGCTTGAAAATCTTTTAATTGGGCATCGTGTATCATATTATTCGCTCAGGGAATATAGAGGAGGGTTAAGACATCCAAGCAATCCTTGTCATAATCTAAAATAAGGTAAGCTCAATAGGACCATATAACTACTTTAAGTAACTCTGTCGTAAGGCACAACTATAATATGCTATGTCACCATTTTCACTGAATTCTAGACTTTTAGTTAGAAGTCGTCATAAGCCTTTTATACTTTCTTTTATTCACGAGAGAGTAATGTTTCAATTGTTGCACGGGCTTTGTTATATTCTGACAATCAGTAGTTACATACTGTTATGTTATTGTTCCTGTGTCGAGCCATTTAATTCTTGAACGTGAAATGGTGATCTCTGGTTCCCTTTAATATGCGCTTGCATACAATATATGGAAACCTTACCTCATAGTCACTGGCACCCACACATTTCAAAGAAACTCACAAGCTCTAAATCATTGCTATATGTTTGATGATTTCCTGCCACAGTGGTTGTAATTTCCTCTTTTATATTCTATTGTTCATGAAGATAGGGTGTGGAGTGTGTGTGTGGATGGCTAGGTGGGTGGCTCACATGGCACATGTGTTTTAATAACAGTATATTTCGGCCAGTGCAGTTATTCTCTATTGATAGCACAAGTTAATAACTGGTGATTTCTTGACTGCCATAAAGATATGAGTTTTAGGATTATTTACTCAGCGGTATTCATCAGACATTATTTTCAGGTAGACCTTTAGCTAATACAAACTCGTTGCTTTATAATTTTTAAATTCTGTGATTTGGCCTTGACCTTTGTGCATATGCACAAACTTGATTATGGTAATCTAGAATCTGAACTGCAGACTTTGATGTTATGTTGCATCTCTCCACAGGATTCTTCCTCGTTTTCCTTTCGTAGCTGCTTGCCTTCAGGGTGGACATTTCTGTTATTTTCAGCTGTAGCCACTCTCATTTCAGAGAAAATATTTCTTGACCAGGATAACTTCTGGCCAACATTTTTCATTCACTTCTCTGTTGGATTGACTTGTTTCTGCGTGGCAGCCTTTGTCATGTAAGTAATTAAAATGCATGTCATGCTAATTCTGATAAGTTTGAAATGGAATCTACACTCATCCTATTAATTTTCTTACTTCAATAGCTATCACCGTGAGAGGCCGTTTATCAACAAAATTTTGCGTTTCCGAGACCATGCTGACTGAAGCAGATAAATTTTGAACATTCTTCAAGGTCAGACTTGTTTAATAATTTGATTGTTTTTCACTCCCTTGATCATCTCTCTGCATGCATGGGTAAAAGCTGATATAAAATGCTTCTTGGTGCAGCAAAAAGGAAGAACTTGACAGAATTCAACTCATTCATTTATTTTAGAAATAATAACATGATATCAACGTTATAGCGGGGGGTGAATTGTGTTGTTTACTTGAATAACTTAATCAGTGCAGTCATTTTGATGGAAGCTTTATTGTCCGTACATGACCATTTCATGCTTTCTCCTCTATTCGTTATAATTGAGTTAGGATCTTGAAGCTTGATTGAATTTTCACCAATTTTGTAGGCTCTTCCTTTAGATTTCCAAGGATAGATGAGGATAGAGAGGATTGGTAAAGAATATAGATGTTGCATTTTGCAGATTTGGTTGCATTTGTGAGACCATATTCCTCACTTACATGTTTTAATGAAGTTGAGAAAAGGCTAAGTGGCACCAACAGCACTGGTGTCTCCACGCCATGGCGTGCACTGCCATTCCCACCATCATCTGTTATGTATCACGAACACCACTCCACGCAGACTATGCACAAATGTTGTACTTGTTTGCTTGTGTTTCTTTTTTTGGAGCGATAGTGAGTGCTCATCCATCCTAATGATACATTATGGATTTGAGTCCAGAAATCCTCTTAACAATAGCGGTAAGATTGTCTACAATACTTCAAGATAGTGGTAAGAATGTCTATAATTTACTTCTCTAAACTTTTTTATAGGCGAGATTTTTGTGCACTGAATTTTTTTTCTTACTGTTTTGGGTCCTTTTTCTCATTGGCATCCAATACCTCTTGCCCATTTCATAGAACTCCCTCAAAACCTCTGTATTGAAGCAGCGGCGATAAGATGATGTTGATGCATTATTTAGCTAAACATTTTCTAATGACGACACTGCTGATCAATTTACAAGAAGTAACTCTTCCCTGTACAGCCCGTTATGATTTCTCAACCTTATAAATTGCTAAAATTCATGCTTTCTCATCTTTGTGACCAAAAATTTTGACTACGAAAAAATCCCGAGGCAGGTCTAGTCATGGAAAATAGTGAGAGAATGGGTGATCACTGATCATCAACGGCTACAACAAGGATGACCATGGTCATGTGTGTATAGTGTTAGTTGTGCATGTGTGAGTGTGTGTTGGGTTTAGGGATGATAGTGGACTGCGGGGTTGGGGGGGGGGGGGAGAGTGGTCTCCATTTCATATCCGCTTCAAAAATATTCGTCCACTCGCTTTAGCGGAGAAAATTTTATTCACTGTTCCCACCAGAGTCTTGGTCCATAATAATTAATTTCTATGCTTTTTTAAAAAAAAAAATCCTGAAGTCTCAAATAGCTTTACAAGAAGAATGAAAATTTATTATATAACAAATAGGTTAAACATAAAAATTCACAAAAATAATATATATAACAAATATGTGTTTTATTTAATTATTTTATTTGTTATATATACATATTATGGGATTAGTGAGATGGGGATGAGTTTCAGTTAATCCTTTCATGAGTTTATATGGGTATTCTTATATATGATTACTGTCTATTTCCGGTCTAATCGGAACGAGTTTGGACAAATAATTATTATTTTTTTGGTCCACTACCATCCCTAGTAGTGTTTTTTTTTTTTTTTGGGGGGGGGGGGAAGTGAGAGGAAAATCGACAAATGTACAAGACCAACGAGCAAAAGCACAATAAGGAGTGATGACTACGAGGGCCAGTAAGAAGCAAGTGATGATTTGCAGGACACCCACGGGCGTATGGGTTGTCCTCCATTGTGACCACAACGGCTGCACTTGCTCATTATAAGCTTTGAAAACTTGGGTGAGAAAAGTGGGGTAAAAAGAGGCAAAAAAATGAAACTTATGATTAAGATGTAGACTAGGTAGGGGTTTAAACAAGTATCCAACCAAGAAAAGGAAAATAATCTTCTAAAACAGCATGATGATAGTTTGAGTTTCCTTTAAGGCTTTGTATTCTTAGTGGATTTGTTAGCTCCACTTTGCTTCAAATTCCAGAAATAAATGAGTGCTAGAGATGCATGTTGACTCTAAAGAAATGGGAAAGTATAAGTAGAAAATAGTGATAAAAAAATATATCGGGTCTATTTGGAGTGGTTTTTTTCAGTGAAAAGTTGCGATTTGAAAAACTGAGTAAAAAAGTAAGAGTTAAAAAAGTCTTTCAAAATCGTTTGGGGTGTTCTTTAAAAAATTGAAAAAATTCATTGACTTTCTAATTTTTGTGTCAAAATATAAATATAATTACATGTATATATATATTATGCATAATAGATCCCAAAATATGAAATTATATTTTTTTGCGTCATTAATAATATTTTTTCAAGATAATAAATTAAAATGTTTTGTGGAATCCGCAAAAAAATTTCAAAAAAGTCAAAAAAAAAAAGCTTATAAAATCAATTTCTTGAATTAACTTAATTTTTTTTTTTTGGTCCAAAAAGTTGCTGCATAAGCTTGTAAAAAAATTGAGGTTTAAATAGACTTGACTTATTTTACTTCAAGACTTTTAAAAACTACATATTCAAGTTAGTTCCAAACATGCTCATTCTGTTTTTTGGCCATTATCCGTCATTGGGCATATTGAGATCCAGAAATTTCGCGAAGAACATAGAGAAAAAGGAAAAAGTTCTGGATAGATATCTTTCATCTGAACCGAATTCTTTCTGATTATAGAATCTTTAAGGAGGTAAGGCACGAGAAGGTAATGTGTTTTTTAGTTTGTTCTTCGCTAATTGACATTGAGCGTGTTGGTATGCAGAAAAATTGTGATGATCATATAGAATCTACTTCTTGAAATTTTCTTTCTAAAATTTTTAAACAGTTCTGCTGTGTATTGTAAACTAGTTAGAAATGCTCTAGTGAGCAAGCATAGGAAAGAGTGTCTGTGGATGTATATAAGCAACAATAAACAATCAAGTCTCAAACAGACCTGGCCTACAAAAAAAAACAAATCTAATTTTGACTAACACTTTTTTCAACTCGGCCATTATATAAATGAAAGTAGGTGAGCCTTTTGAAATTTATCAGTCCTATTCCTCCATTAAAGTTTCTTATAGTTTTGCTCCCTGGCTTTGCCTTTCCTCTTAGGTGTGGTTGTGTAACAATTGCATAATTTTCACTTAGACATCTATATGGATTTATTATCAATTTTAATATTAAGTTCTTTTTTTCAATGGTCGGTGGTGTTCGGGTCAGTTTGTGCATACCTTGACTAATTCCCTCCCCAGTCTTGTTAAAGGTAAGTTATCCACATCAAAATTAGGGTATTCATGAAGGATAAACAAAAAACTATAAATGGATAGTGCCAAAATTTACAAATTTGAAATAGTAAGTGAAAATGTTGGAATTCTTATGAAAACATTAGTGGAAACAATTTTCCTTGCACAAAACCCACTATTTTTTGGGAAATTATCTTCAAATTACCATGGAAAAAATGCAGTGTCTAATTCTCTCTCTCTCTCTCTTTTTAATCTGCTTTAGAAAGTCTAAATCATTTGGAGGTGGGATTTTGGCTCTTAATATCTTCACATTAAAGCAACTTTGTTTTACAACACCAAATGATAGAATATGACATGTAATGATACATATGGGACCCTTTTTGAAATCCATTTGTTATCTTCTTAAATTCTCTTAGGACACCAAAGATTCACCAGTGAAAAAAAAAAGTTTCAAATCTGTGATTATTGTCATGCTTAGTAGATCACATGGATCCCTTAATTATCCTCTTAGCTTTCTAATCATCAAAAAGCTTTTCTTAGTCTTGAGTTATTTGTGACAACCAACAAAGGTGAATTGTAACTAATAGATGCTTGTTACGCCAAAACAAGTCCGATGGCAAAAGCTTTTGGTAAAGTTTGATTTGACTTTAAAATATTAATTGAGCAAGACCAATGTAGTGACCATGCTCACAATAAGTTTTTATTCAAGTGGTTCAGCCTTCGCCATTGGTACAAGTTGAACCAATATTTTCCAACAAATTAGGGTTAAAAGCGAGAACGATGTGGTGACCTCCTGTCCTCTAAAGCAAGTGAGAGAGGGAGTCGCTCAACGATTTTGGGTAAAAGACTTAAGTTGTGGATAAAAAATTGTCAAATTTAATGTCCAAAATGTTTGAACAATCACTCTTATTATATTATTGCTCAAAGGCAGAAGATTTTTCATGATACTGAGTGAGAGCTTAAATGGTGAAGGAAGATACAACTCATAATGTTGAGGTAGGTATACTTCTGAGTAAAGTTTTTGACTTAAGATGGGTATCTCACATGCCCATTTCACTAAACCTTCAAAGCTTAATGATTTTGTTCTCCACTAAGGCCATAAATGTTTTAGTGTGATGGGAAAGAAGACCTATTCATGAGAGAGGGAGAGAGGGAGAGAGAGAGAGAGGTGTGACTGTGAAGTCAAACATGGGAGTGCCCATTGGTTGTGCTTTGGGTGGACTGACTGTACAGGTGAGGCAGCCTTTTTTTGACACGTGGTGAAGTGGGTCACCTGTCCCCATTTGTTTCTCTATAAGTTAAAACAGTTGTGTGGCAAGTCTTGACGCAACAGTAAAATTATTTTGGTGTGATTTAAAGGTTACGAATTCAAATCACAAAAATAGTTTATTTACTTGTAGAGGTAAGATATGTATAACTAATTCTTCTCATATCTCACAATAACGGAAGTCTTGATATTAGGTATGCCTTATAAATTAAAATAGTTTCATGCATTGCTTAGACTAATCAAGAGTATACCGTAAATTCTAAAATTCATTAGCAATTCAGATATATCAGATTAACCAAAACATCTCTTTGTTAGGTCAAATTAAGATCTTGAGATAGTAATCTCCGATATCTTCTCATCCCATTTGAACTAGACTGACAGAATAGCTCCATTTCATCTTTTTCTTCCTCTATCTTGATTCAACCATTGTATAATTGTGGCATGGGCCCTGTGTTGGAACGAAAATCTCAATAATCATTGACATATATCGAATACAATTTTTTTTTAAAACGCTATAAGACGGAATTAGGATTTACCTTCGAAATCACTCTGAATTGATCTCATCTTAGCATGAACACAAAAACTAACAACAAACGTAGAAGAAAACTCGATGAACCTCACAACTTTCTATCGTATATCCTTCAGCGTCAAAATCTGGATGCAATATGAGCTGCAAGAACCTTCAAACTTCTTCTCTCTCTCTCTCAGCCTCTCTAAAAAACGTGAGTAATGAATTGATGCTTATTTAGAAAGTCTAGACATCTATATATAGGTTGCGATAGAAACTCTAAGGAAAAATAAGAATTAGACTTCCAATGAGTCTAGAATTTCGATGTTTAACTCATAACAAATATCTTATAGCCCATTAATAATGAGTTAATCCACTAAAAACTTAATATTAATCGCCTGATCTTTATCTCAAAATTATATTCGAGCTCCTTATTATTATATACTAAATAATCTCCCAACATTTAAGATTACAGATGTCCATCAATTAAATAAATTACTAACAATTATATTTAATTGACTTTGTATATTTTTTGAGACCTTACTACTCAACTTATTTTTTATGCTGGATAATTAAATCTACCTGTAAGGTTTGACATAGACAAAACTTATGAGTTTTTTCAAGAGGATATCATCAACTCATTTAAATACCAGGATGTAGTTTTATTTAATAATTAATTTTTACCATACAACTA